TTGGGGAGTTTAGCTTTGAGAGGCTGGCGGTGTGACCAGGTATCTCTTTACTCCTTCAGCCGACGGCAGACCCGCCGCAACAACATTCCACTTCTAATAAATGACATTTAAAAGTTTAATCAGCTCCAGAGGCGCCTGTTAGCGAACAACAGGGTCATTGTCTGGGTGGCTAATGGTGCTGGCACCACGGCTGAGTGTGTGTGGATGGAAACCAAGAAAGCTGGAGGCTATCAGGTGAGCCTGGACTGATTGATGGACGCCAAGCTGCTGTTTACACCAGTCACTTGTGAATAAATACCAGAATACACCAAATGTTCACCTGGAAATTTGTTACTTCTGTACTTTTGTGTTGCGTTAGCTTACGTTGTGAAGCCCTAGAGGTGATTTCACCTGGTTCAGACTTCATTTAAATGTTGCAAATCAAAAATATGTAGATTTTAAAAAGCTTTAGCTTCTGTTTGAAACACTGGCATCAAACTCATTTTAATTCTGGGCCACATCACAGCCTAGAATGAATTAAAGGGCACTTTGTGGCAGAATGTCTTGATAAAACTACCTATTAATATTGATAGACAGCTGTTTCTGTATTTGGTGAGAAATTAAATAGTATTAAACATGTTTTCACCTTCATCTAATTTGGCACAATACAAATGAAACTGCTGATTGATAAAATAACATTTAAAGAACACGACTGTTATTTCAGGCATTATTTCTAGAGTCCAGAGGGCCACATTACATCTTCTGGCGGCCCAGATTTGGCCCGTGGGCCTTCAGCTGGACTCATGATATTAAAGCTCTTCTAAAAGTAGTTAGTGGTTCAGAAAGCAGCTCACTCTGCCATGATGGATGTCAAAGCACTGCGTTAAAACCTGATAAGGTTGTCTGAAAATTATAATGGTGTATTAGGGCTATTTTAGATTTTAAAAATGAAAGGAGTACATTTTCACCCAAAAACTGAAATTTTGTAGAAAAAAACTGAATTTTTTTTATTAAAAAAAGAACTCTTGACACTTGAGGTTAATGTTTTCTAGAAATGTGAGAAAAAAAAAATCTTTAAAAAATGTTCAACTTTTGAATGTGAAAGTTGAAATTAAGTCAAACATTTTCAAAATTGTAAAATTTTCTGAAGTCAAACATTTTAGACTTTTGACATTTAGGAAATGTAAAAAATAAAAACTTGACAGTTGAAGATCAGAAATGTCCAAATTCTTATCATGAAATATTTTAGATAAATCTCAAACTTTGACATTGTTCTAGCAAATTTTTGACTTTTGAATTTTTTTCAAAAAAATTTCTATTAATCACAAAATTTTTAACATTTTCTACTTTTGAAACAAAGAAAATATCAAAATTATTTTTTTTCTTGCAAATAAAAATAAACACACCAGCTATTCCATTGGACTTACTTGATAGCAATTAAGAGTCACATTTTACTAGTCATTTTGAGATAATTCATTGTATATTTCGCTAGTGCTAAGGGTTAGCCTCAGCAGAGCTAGCGCAGGGACACTTTGTATGTAATTTGGGCTGGAACATGTCAGATCTGGCAACCCTCAACATGTTCCCAGAAAACTATTATTAACAAACAAAACCTATATGCACTGTTTCAGTCTCTTAACATTTCCTTAAAGAACCATCTCTGGATTATGGATCCAGATAGAATTAGGCTAAAATTCTGATGTTCAGACATCAGGAACATTGTACTGAATCCTTTTATGATTTGGGAACATACATGTGAACATGTTTAGCGGGGAATTACAGTGCAGTAATGCTGCAGTCATCACAACCTCTTTCACCTTGGGGATAAACTATGCATGTGGCCGCTCTCATTTCATTTCTAAATGAGATTACGGGACACATTTGATCCTCATAACCTCTCTCACACCCCTCACCCATCTCTGACTCCATGGCAGCATTTTGACAGCCACGGTTTAGTATTTCTTTCTTGGAGTCCAACTTTAACCTGCCTGTGCCCTCTCTGCCCCTTCCAGTTTGTAGTTACACAAAAATCAACAGAAATATTTTGGTTTATCATACAGAAAAAAATATGGGTGTTCCTTTTTTATATGTTCAGTATTTCATTCATACAATTCCAAACTAAATATTTAATTTTCAAGCTAAATATTAAGTTTCACATTAAACATTTAGTTCCAAATAAAATTTATTTTTTATGACAACTATTTGATTTTCAAACTGAATATATAGCTCGGACCTAAATATTTAAGTTGCTGGCTAAATATTTTGTTAGCAGGTTGGGCTAGCATGTTAACTGAATATTTAACAGGTAAACTAAACATTTAGTTGGCTTTAAATTCCCTTACAAGGTTCTTCTTATTTTGCTGTCCACTCTCCAACAGTCAGTATCAATAAATTATGTTTTCTAAAGTTTTTTTTCTTTCTGTTTGTATTTTGTATCTAAATTATCTTAAATTTCAGTGTGTGAAAAGTGATATTCATACGTCCAAATATACGAGGAAAGGCAGGGAGTAAGTCTTGTGTAAGAAGGGTTTTCTAAATTCAGGATTTTAACATTTATACACATACTGTTGTATAAGAAAAAGGAAGAAAAGAAAATAGATGTATGAATGCTCTGACATCACAATGATGCAAACACAAAGAGTGCAATCTGAAGCGTGTAAGCGTGCGTGTAAATAAATCTTCATCTGCAGACTGTCAATCCCCAGTTAATCTGTCCTGACTGCATTTAAGCATGAGCACAACGTGTTGAATGGTTCCCTGTAATGCAGCATATTTTAACCCTTTATACATACTAAAAAGCACATTTATAAAGTGTCCTGTTGTATTTCCACATTGGAAAATCTGCAATTTGACCAAATTATTGAAAGACACCAATTGTTTTGATTACCTGCACAGTATTTTATAGCGTAATTGTATTAATAATGCTACAGTATGTAACTTTATGAAAAATGTTTGGGTTTTTTAAACATATTTTTTCTGAACCAAATTACCAATCAGTTAGCAGGAGGGTTTCAGTGCTGTCAAACATCCTCATGTACTTGTTGCTAAATATACTAATGGCAGAAAAACTTACTGTTACAGAAAAACTATTTATTCACTGTTTTTGGTGCCTATGCTAATTAGGCTCTGCTATTTTTATCAGAGAGAATGCGCCACACAGAGTGTGATTGACAGCACTAAGGTCCGCCTCCTTGCTGTGATTGGTTGTTTCTGGTTGGAACTGGGAGAAAGCAAAGGAGATTTACCCAGATTATCTGTTTCATCTTCTACTGTCACAACATGGTGACAATTTCAACAAATATGTAATAAACAATGTTTTATACAAGTCACATGCTGTAACTTTAATGTGCTTTGATGTGCAGCCTATTCTTCCGCTTGCTCTTGAGCTAGTTTCAGCATATGAACTGCTCTGCACTCACATGGAAGCTGTTTATATTCTTGAACATGTGATGAGCAGAAAGTTTTTCTTGGAAACTGTTTTACATTTTTGATGTTTCTGTTTATATTTTTGGGGGTTTTCACACTTCATGTGTGAAAAATTTTAGCTAATTTTAGCTTTTTTCACACGTCATGGTGAATGTTACTGTAAATCAAGTAATCTAAGAGACTATCATTAGCATTTCATCTAGCTTTAGCTTTTTAACTAATTGTAGCTCATAAACTTTGGTTACCTTACAGTTTAGCTTTGTAAACAGTGTTTTGCACAAATTTCTGATACGCTGCATGAGAATTTTTGGTTTGGAATAAAGTTTTCACTCATCTTCTGCAGTTTTTCTATTTGGGGTTTCCAGGTTTTTGCTTTATTTTGGTACTTTTGTTTTAGTCTTAAATTTCCTGCAGTCAACTATAAAGGCTTCTGCAATTTTCACCAAAAACATTCAGCTTACAGCATTCACACTGCATTTAGTAGGAAATGCAATTTTTTTTTCTACCTTTATTTGTCGTTTTGTTTTTTTATTTTGGATATTTAAAATGGAGTTCCAGCATGAAATGTTCATGAAAATTTTAAGTTTTTTGATCTCTGAAAATGCGTTCTTAAATTATTGTCTTACTATTACTATTGTGTTACTTGAAAATGGTCGCAAAACAAAAATATTATTGCTATAACTTCCAGCAAAATTTGTTATGACAGTTTTTTGAGTATGCAACTGGTGTTTAATTTTAAAGGATAACAAAAGTCAACTCCAAATGCACATTTTCAGATTTGCAACCTTGTAGATTAATTATTCTACTCCACAATTATGGACAACAATGAGAAATGTTTGAGAAATTAAGAATATTGAACTGAGTCAATTCAGATATTCTAATGTTTTTGGTGCAAACTAAGACAAGTGTCTCCAAATTTGTCAACAGGGGTTTGCAGGCCGGCCCCTTCTCTCCTCCACTGTGTGTATATTTGTGCACGTGTGAGCACACAGTGTAATATTTCACTCTCCCTCCTCCGGGATTAGACCATTCATCTCTCGAAGCCCCGGCGTAGGTGTCTCACATAGTGCTAATGAGGAGAGGATGGAACAAGAGAGAGCCTGTGAGTCAGGAGGGAAGGAAGTAAAAATAGATTTTTTTCTCCCTCTCTTTTGTTGGACAGCAAAGACAGCAATCAATTATAAAAAAAGAAAAAGGTATTGATGAATGGGGAAGTTTTATTCCAGGAGTGATCCGTGCAATTTATTTTATTTTTGTCTTTGCATAAAATAAAGTAATTTACAACCAGTCATTGATTACAGCTGACATCCAACAGACCCAAAGTCTGCAGCGCTGCATGACGGCGGCGGCGTTATTGGCCTCCTCTGCCTGTATGCATGTTGTTGAGCAGAGCGGATATCTCCCTGCTTTCCCCAGTTACTCAAACAAGAGACTGGTTGCTTGGTAACCAAGCCACATCACATCACATCAGCGAGCGACGCAGACCAACAGAGAGGTGGAGGCAGAAGGTTGTGCTTGCAGGATTACATAAGTCAGCAGCCCGAGTCACTTCGCTCACCAAAGTGGCGTCTGCTAGTCAGAGGACACAAGGCGGGTGAAGACGAAGCGTTTATTTAAAAAAAACAAAAGAATGTCAAAGTGTTTGATTGAGCTATGTACCTCAAGTCATGTTGGAAATATCAAACCAAGGCTCTAAATACTTAAAGAAGAAACTTTTTCCCTCACTTTAGATAAATAAAACTGAACTTTTTACCCATTTACATGAGTCAGTTTGGAGCATCTTCATTTATTTACATTTTCAATAAATTTACATAAAACAGCTGAAAAAGTGTCTTCTTGATTAAACCGATCAGAAAAAATGAGTAAATGTTCAGATAAGGAACATTTAATGCTCATTATTTCTGACCAGAAATATGATCTGTTTTGAGTTAACTACATAAGAAATGCATGCAAAACATCAGAACATTCATTTCCTTGAGGTTGGTTATTTGCATAAATCCTCCATTTCACGTTTTACTAATAACAAACACTGATGTCCAATGTTCTTGATCAGTGATTAAAAAAAAGATAATTTATCATTAATAGTGCAAAGAATGCTCAGATTTTGATTTGGAAAAAAAAGCAAATCAATCTATAGGAAAGTGACAAAGTTATAAACACTTTTCTGACATAAATAAATTTATTTCTCTTCCAAATATATTAGGAATGACATGATAACATGATGCAGAGACCAACAATTGATTTTACATGGTACTGTCCCTTTATGAAAAGGTCAGACTTGTCGCCCGGGTCGTCAGAGCTCTCTGGGAATGATGGTGAAGGGTCGGATGGGACTGGACGCCTCCAGCTCCAGCGCCGTCAGGAAGCAGTCCGGAGCCTGGCTGGAGTCCCGAGCCTGCAGCGCTTCACCCAGGCCGCTCCACGCCTCATGGGACGTGCTGTGGACCTGAACAGCGTCACGCAGGACCTTCTCTCCCAGGTGGACACGACCCGTTTTTACCAGCAGGCGACCCTGAACAGCACACAGGGGAGACACAGGGAATATGACATGTTCGCTACAAAGCAAAATAAAAAAAAAAAAAAATATATATATATATATATATATATATATATATATATATATATATATATATATATATATATATATATATATATATATATAAGGCCATGTTAAGAAAATTTGAAAAATTACATTACAAAAATACATTTTATAATATTTCAAGAATAAAGTTGTACGGCAATCAAATTTAAACAATACGAGAAGTTAAAATATTTCAAAAATGAAATGAGTCTATTTAATTTAAGTATTTAAAAAATAGTACAAGAATATAGCTCAAATCGTACTGAATAATATTTTAAAAATAAAGTAAATATTACCAGAATCAAGTTTAAATGAGAATAAATTCATAATATGCAAAAAACAATGAGAACATAAAGTCATATTTAAAAAATAAAGTTGTACAAGAACAAAGTCGAAATATTACTAAATATTAATTTTAATAAAGTCAAAAATAATGCAAGAATAAAGTCATATTTCAAAAGTAAAGTAAATATTATTTTTCACCAGAAATGTCTTTTTTTAAACTATGGTATATTTTCTTTGCTTCATTTTTAAATCTTTTGTAACAGAATTGTTAAAATGTCAATAAACACAAAGGTTTATTGGTTGTCCTGTTTTTTCACATGACTATGTTTATATATTAAATAAATATTAAAAGACAAACCTGGTGCCTAATGTTGCGTTTAATCCTCAAAACTCAGTGAGCTTCAGTTTACCACCTAGCTTTTAATACTCTACTATGTTAATATTCCAAATATCTGTCATTAAAACATTTTATTGCATAAAAACCTCAAGTCAGCAGATGGTGGCTTTTTAAAATATATATATATAAAAATCATAAATCTTGGATTATAATGTTGCTCTTTTGTGGAGTTGAGTTGTTTAGGATAAAAAATGAAAACAAAAGCTAAACAGCCGCAACGAGAGTCCCATTCAGATGGGATTGAACAACTAAACGGAGAAAATCCACAAATGATGAGATTAAGAGGAAACCTCGGCAGAAAGGATGCACATTGTTAAACACAAACACACAGCAGTGCTGCAAAGTAGGTCTGATTTAATACAAAATCATCTTTACCATTTAACGTCCAGCTGCTACCTGCCGTTTCTTTTCTAACATCTACATTCCTGTTACGAACATTCAGTTGAAACCTAACCAAAGTGTTAAAATATAAACTCTGAAAGCCAACCTGACAACTTTACTATGGTGCCCCACAAGGCTGTGTTTAAGACCCAGTGACATCTTCTTGACACATCTATTAAGTTGCTAGTGAAAAGTAGTTATGATTAAGATATGCAGAACACTGACTCTGAATATAAAACACATTTGTAAATAGTAGGGAACAGCAAAGGTCAGGAGTGTTTTGGATGTCTCCGAGACAAAATGTTCAACGCTGTCTCACATTAAAGCTATAGATGGTGTGTTGCATGCACATAGAGGATGACAACAGGCAGCTGTTCCTCCACAATATCACATACACACATACACACACACTGAGCTGGCCTCAGGTCAGACAGACAAGTCTCGTTATGCAGTCTCTGCTCACAAGTTCCAGATTAATTGGACTGAACTTCACATAGCTGTCTGCGGGCTCTGATGCAACTTTCAATAACACACACTCAGTGGTGTTTTTGTGATTTGTGGGGACCCAACATTGTCTTCCATACATTTTCTACAGAATAACCCTTTCCTTTTCTTACCCCTAACCATCATACACCTAACCTGACTCTATCTAAAAGTCAATTCAGATATTAGACCTAAACCTAATCCAAAACAGCAGTTCCCCTCAAATGTCCCCACAAAAAGCAGAGGTCCTCACAACGTAGACAGGAATAGGTCCCCACGAAAACATAAAAACCTACCAGACACACACACTGTGTTTTCCTCTGTGATTCTGAGGAAAACACAGGAACAACAAAACTCCTGAGCAAAGAGGATGCACGTTGATGTTTACCAGTTCCTGTCTGAGCCCTATGAGTTCATAGGCTTACTCATTATTGTTCTCTTCTCCGCATTCAGCGTCGATTTGTCACTGTGTCAGTTTACAGAATAATTAGCATTTATGGCATCAGATAACCTACTCCAGATTTTTAAAAACATTTTGTTCCTCTCTTTTTTCGTCTATATTTAAACTCTGAGTGACGCCAGTTAAAGATGCTGTAATTGCAATGCTACTCCAGCAGGTGGCGATACTTTGAGCAGGTGAGCTCAACATTTATTGTTTTTAATCAGTTTTTTAGGATATTAAACCATCAAATTAGAGCAAAGTGCTAATATACTCATTCAACTTTCAAGTGCCTCACCTCTGACCATTCATGCAACGTTTTTGAAAAAATCCGTTTTTAGAAATGTGGACTGTGGATGCTAACATTAGCATTAGCTGATACATGTCTAGGTATTTTAGGCTTAAATAACTTCCATAATAGGCTAACTAATTTTAGCACAACTTGAACACAAGATCATATTTGTTAAACAAAAATTAACTTCCAGAGAGCCATGAGAGGTACATTCTAGCGCAAATATCTTACTACACTTGAAATAACACAAATAAGTAACTTTTCAGAATTTATTTCAAGTAAATAATTCCTTAATATTGATGAAAAAGTATTTATTCAACTGGCAGATTATTTCACTTATAAAAAGAAAATGTTCTCATGTTACAAGTGAAATGATCTGCCAATGGAACTTAATATTAATCAATATTAAGTTATTTGCTTCAAGTAAGCTATTTCTTGCAGAAAATTTATTTATGAATTAGTACACTTGAAATAAGACAATACTAAGATATTTGAACTAGACACTACACAAAAAATACTTCGTAAGATTTTGTGTTTTTACAAGTTAGGAATCAACGGCAGAAATTTAAGATAATTTTAAAGTCGCCATGACTTAAAAGAAAAGAGAACAGCTCCGTCAGTTTCTTTTCTTGTTCAGTCCAACCATCTGTCTTGTGTTTTACCTTAACTGACCCTCGTCGGTTTGGCCCTGAGGTTTCTATCTTGTGTTGTGGGCAGCTGCACATTCACGCCAAAATTAGATAAACTCCAGAGGAACTTCAAACAGTCCAAAACAGCTAATTAAGTGTGTTTAGCGAGAGAAAGATCAAAGAGATTCCCCTCCCAAAATAAGGAGAAAGAAACTTTCAAACATCCCAGCAGAAACCTGATTATGGAATCCAGATTAGGGATGTTTGGCATCAGCTGATGCTGTTTATGTGATTCAGTGCAACAACTAAAACACCAAGTTAGAGGTTTATTTACAGCAACCAGATTAATTTAATCACTTTTACTCAGATGAATTAACTGTCAAATAAGTAAGGATAAGCCTTAAATTATCTTTCTATTCATTGCAGATTTATTGATTATTTTAAAAAATGACGCTATTCATAGAATACAACAAATCAACTTAAAAAGCAGTAGCATAACTAAAAATTCAGTTACTGATTTTCTGTCTAGTGAATCATTTATTTGATAATAGTTTTTATTAAAGATGTGTCTAGTCATTTTGTAAATATTTTAACATTGTATCAATAGCTGTTTTCTAACTGCTTTATTTATTTTCCCTTACTTATTACACATATTACTAAGTAATATAATAATAAAACCCCTGAATCACTCATTCCCTGTCATTATCCGCTACTTAAACTGCTCCAATGGTCAATGTTAGTGTGCTAATTAACATATCGGTTAGTTTGACACATTTTTCTGAATGGGCTTAGGCACTTTTTAGTTTTTGTCGTAGTTTTTCTGACCCACCCTGTCTCGTATCCGCTCACTTTCTCAGACTCTGGTTAGCAGAAATTGCGCTATTTATAGCCTTACAAAGGAGGGGCGGGCCAAGGAGGACTGAGGGATTTCATTGGATAAGCCCAATGGCCAACAATAAAATCAACCAATGGGCTGTAGCGGTCTATAAAAATTAGATTTAATAGTATTTTTTGTTAAATTATGACAGCTTAGGGCTGCCAGATATGAAAAGTAAAAGCATCAGTCTGGACTTCAGACAGTCAGTCCTCCTCTGGACAGAAGTTCAAACTGAATGCAGCTTTTTTTTCTGTTCAAATTATAAAAAAATGGCCCATAAACTGATGGTTACCTGTATAAAGTCATCTCTTAAGAATCAACCAGGCTCAGGAGGACTCTCACCCACAGATAGGAAAGAAGAGAGAAAATGAACGGGGGACTAAAATGAGGAATGCAAGAAAGCAAGACAGAAGGAGCTAAAAGAATCAGGAGATGAAAATTGACAAAGATTAAGAAATAATTTAACGCAGCAGAGCGAAACATAGCAACAGAGGCACCATTCGACTCCCAGTTGTTTCCCAGTTTGTCCCCTTCCAGTTTTTCCGTCCTCCTCAGCCATCTTCCCTCCCTCCATCTATTCATGGTTATCAGAGGTTTTGCTCAGTAGAATATATTTCCCTGGTTGCTAGGCAATCCCATAAAGCAGTGAGAACGACCAAAGTGTTATAAATAATGTATTTGCATTATCTAATCAGCTGACAACCGCCCCCACCCACACAGCCAGAGAGAGAGGGAAAGACAGGGAGCGATGGGTGAGCATTTGATAATTGGAACGCGATTAATTCAATGAGCACAAGTCCTCGTCCTGAGAGCGTTCGTGCATATGCGAGGCCGCGTGCGAATATGCGTCTGCCGGAGAGGAGTAGCAGAGGAAGCGTGCGCAGCCGTGAGTCCGACTGACTCACAGCCGGCTCCACTCCAGACGGGAAAGGGACGAGACATGGAAGACGTAGGGAACGGGTCGGATTCATGCCCCACCGGGAACGAGGCTGGGGTTCAGGATCGGATCCAATCCAACGTGTTCGGTACCAGAGACCACAGGCGCAGATCGCATTTAATTACTCAAATCAATTTTAAACATTAGTATTTATTCTCTAATATGTAACACATTGATGGGAGCAAGATTAGGCCCACTGGACAAAAAAAAAAAAAAAAAAAAAGAATCAGAAGATAGAATTTTTCAGGAAAAGATAGAATTCCAAAAAAAAGTAAGAATTCTGAGAAAAAAATAAAAATTCAAAGAAAAATTTTTTAAAAGAAAAATGTCAATTTTCCAGGAAAAAAATTAAGAATTTTGAGAAAAAACAGTAAAGTTTCCAATAAAATATTCAGAATTCTGAGAAAAAAATAATTAAAAGAAAAAAGTTGGTAATGCCAGAAATGAGTAATAATTTTAGGAAAAAGTTGGAATTCTGAGAAAAGAAAATTCCAAGAAAAAAGTCTGAATTTTGAGATTAAAATCAGATTTTCTACATAAGTAAACTAAAATTTTTCATGTAACTCTTCGTACAAATTGCTAAAAGTATCTCTCATCACAGGTTCTGTAGTCAGGTGATCGATAAAATCCGTTGCTTGTTCGGCAGATTGCTTTTCCATCAAAGAACAGTTGGATGTGTGTCATATTTTAATATTATAAGTTATTATAGCAGCAACTCAGGCATGAATGAAACTAAAATCACAGAAAAACACCAAATCTGATCTGGTTTGTAGTAGAAATGTCTTAGTACACTTTAAATAAGACAATTTCCACAGGAAGATTTTTTAACTTATAACAAGACATTTTACCCATGCAGTCAGTGGTGTACATGGGTGTTTACCCAGAATGCCCTGCACTACAGTGCGCTTCCTGCTACAGACCGCTGGGCGTTCACATATGCATTCAAACTATTGCAGAGTTCACTTTAACTGAACTGAGACCAAGGTTAAAAAGTTTGACTTTTTAGGCAAAAACAGTAGAATTTGATTAAAGCGGACTAAACAGGGCTGGTGTGAATGAAACCTTAAACCTTTAAGCTGATCAATATGAGTAAAAAAAAGGTCAAGAGACCCAATACTTAAAGTGTACCTGGTAAGAAAAGTACCAGTGTAACTGTTAAGGTTTATTCAAGTGAAAATGGGTGAAAAATATTAACACAACTGAGAAACCTTTTAATTGTCCAGTATAAAACACTAAAGGCAGCCATGTTTCTGTTTCACAGATCCAACAAATTTCACAATTAAAATCAGAATGACTGAATGAAAATAAGAGGGCCTTACTGTCATTTCCCTCAGGGAGCGCGTCTTTCATTTGTTGCCAAGTCAATAAAAAAGCACAGTACAGTATGTACTTTTGCAGAATAATAGCTCAAGAGTAAAAATACCAACCAAGAATATCATCAGAATTCCCCTTAAGGCGGAGCAGAATAAATGGGCTACTGGCACACAATGTGTCCACAGCAGAACCAGAATAAAAATAAATGGCTCTGCCGTCGAGGAGCAGAGACTGGAGGTTGTATTCTATGGGCAGGCTTCAAATAAAATGAGCCACACTGTGTTTTCACTGCAAAAACACCAAATCTTACCAAGTTATTTTACTCTATTTCTAGCAAATATATAAGTACACTATAAATAAGATAAAACTAACGTAAAATTATCTTTTCAGTAACATACAGGAGCTTGTTTTAAGTAAATAATTCCTTCATAATATTGAAAAAAATATTTGTTCCATTGTCAGATAACTTTACTTAAAACAAGACATTTTCCCATGTTATAAGTGAAATAATCTGCCAATGAAACTAGAACTTTTTCATCAACATTAAGGAATTATTTACTTAAGACAAGCTCCTACATCTTACTGATAAGTTAGTTTTGTCTTAATTTAAATTTACTTCATTTAAGATATTTGTGCTAGAAACTAGATTTTGTGCTTTTTGTCCTTTCCCTCAGCTTCTTTGTCAAGTTTCTAGGTCAGATATCTTAGTAAAATTAAACTAACTTAAAAGCAACTTAAAGGCTTGTTTCTTCTAAATATTGATGAAAAAGTTCTGGTTGTGTTGGCAGAGAAATTAACTTATAATGTGGAAAAATGTCTTATAAGTTAAATATTCTGCCAATGAAACTAGAACTTTTTCATTAATATTAAGGAATTAATACTTGGTAAGATTGAATGTTTTTGCAGTGTTGTCTCTAATGTTGCTCTTTCCCTCAACTTTTGGTGTTTTCATTCTCAATTTTTGCCCAAATTCAATTGCATATATTTAGTTCTCCCCCAAAAAAAAGAAACAGAAGAGAAAAAAAAAGGCACAAGGAGTCCACATTTGCATCGAATCCATGGAGGAATGCTGGCACAAACAAACACAACACAACACACACACACACACACACACACACACACACACACACACACACACACACACACACACACACACACACACACACACACACATACGGAGCAACGTCACGCTGAGAGCACATCTGTCCTGTAAGAGACGCAGAGCGGGACTCGGCCAGCTGGCTTTGCTTCAACTTTTCACCCTCTGGGATTGGTTCTCCCACAGGCCAAATAAGGAAGAGACGCGAATCGTCCTCCACCTCTGGGACGGCGCACACACACACACAAATCCATCCAAAAGAGCACAGTAGGAGCAAAACCCATTAGCCTTATGTGGTCACAAGATGGCAAGAGCTGGAGCACATCTACTGTACCCATGGAAACCACAGCGGAAACAGTGGATGTCTGTGACAGCCTTTTCTTCAGGGATATCCCCTTCGCCATGACAACAGAGGAAGGTCAGAGGTCATTGTAGCTGTGGATAATCCAGTGGATCATCTACAAGACAAATTGAGTGGGAGGAAGTGGAGAACGAGAGAAAATAGGAGCTGGGATGAAATGAGGTGGGAAATAGACTGACTTCATTGGTGGGTTGCAGTTGGTGGAGTTCAGGGTGAGGAGATACGCAGTTCATGCTTTATCATTATAAAAGTGGTGATAAGAATCGTCTATTACTTCTTTTTCGGTAGCTTTCGGTATGGCTCCACAAACACAAATTCTGCTCTTGGAAAACCTTTGCTGCAAAAACACAAAATCTTACCAAGTAATATTAATCCAGTTTCTAGTACAAACATCTTAGTACACTTGAAATAAGAGAAAACTAACTTACAAATAACTTTTTAGTAAGATATAGGAGCTTTTAAATGAATAATTCCTTAATATGGATGAAAAGTTTCATTGACAGATAAATTTACTTGTAAGAAGATATTTTCTTCTTGTTCAAAGTGAATGAAACCAAAACTTTATTATCAATATCAAGGATAATTCACTTAAAATAAGCTCCTGCATCTTGCTGATAAGTTACTTTTGTCTTAATTAAAGTGTAGTAAGATATTTCCACTAAGCTGCAGAAAATTACCTGGTCAGATTGTGAGTATTTGAAGTGTTGAAATGTGAAATAGAAATTTTTAAAGACAAAAGTCACACAAAGAAATGTGATTTGTATCACTAAACTTCACAGAGTAATAATATTTTCAAGATTATTGATATTTATTGATAATTTCAATGAATAAACAGCTGTTGTGGGGGTTTAACCTTCACTGGTGACAAAATCTAATTTCTTATCATGATAGGTGTTTTTGGTACATGAAACTGGATGAAACTGAACCAGAAGTCAATAAACACAGAGGTGAAGACGTGAAAGTGGGCCTGGGCCGAACACATCTTACATAAACCAACAGATTATCTTCAAACAAGATTCCCAAGGTGAAGAAAATAATCGAGTACACCACCTGGGGAGGGATAAAAGAACAGGTCTCCTGCAGTCTGTGGACACCAGGGGAAGGTGAAGCACCCAAAAATAAAATAGAGTAAAAAGTATTTGGTAAAGAGTTCAATCACGTACTGAGTCACTGATCATATTATCAATCATTTTATATTAAAAAATACCACACAATCAGACGGACCAACTATAAAGACCAATTTAAATTTTGGTGTTTTAAGGAAGAAAATGACAATAATGCAGATCACAAAAATCATCTGAATTCAATTTCAGTTTCTGTTAAAGTTTTATAAGTTGTTAAACTGATTTGGAAAATTTCTCTTTTGCCTGATATTTTTTGTTACATGTATGAATTATTGTCATTTTGGTCTGTAAAGTACCAACATTTCCACTAAACTATATTTTGGTCCATCTGATTATGTAATTTTTAAAAATTAAATTATTGATAATTTGATGACTCAATTGAGGAATTTCTTAAATAGCTACTTTTTGCTTTTACGCGAGTGAAAATATGTTGGAGTTGTGCTACTGAGTATAATTTCTACCCACCTCTGCTTACACTGTGAGCACAACATGTCAGAGTTAATTTAATAGCCTTGAATAAAACACTCAATCTATTAGTGTATTTATGCATTGCTAGAGTAACTCTTCTTGTTCTCTCAATACTGTGTTTATGCACAAGACACAGAACAGAGCAGCGTTATGCAAGTTTTAATTCAGTTTCAAAGCCTCTTAAATCCTCTCCAGTCACTCACCAGTTGCACCAGTATGCGCTCTCCTGTGGGATGGATGGCCAGGGCCTCGTCGTACAGCGCCTTGGCTTCGTCCAGTTGGCCCTTGAGCTCGGCCAGGCGGCCCCGCTGCAGGAGAACCGAGTGGGAGTTTGGGGACAGAGAGCTGGCCTCCGCGATGCAGAACTGGGCCTCCTTGAGCCGGCCGTCCGCCATGAACAGCTCCCCTGCAGGAAGAGAGAGAGGAGGGACGGGAGTCAGAGGGAGACGGGTCAGAACAAAACGGAGCGAGGATAGAGAGATGAGGAGGAGGACAAAGACAGAGAGAGAGATTCCTTTCTTTCTAAGACAAACTTTAAAGAGTCAAACAAAAGTTCAGTTTAAATCATGACAGATGCAACAAAATACTAGAAGGAAGAAATAGGATGGATGGATGGATGGATGGATGGATGGATGGATGGATGGATGGATGGATGGATGGATGGATGGATGGATGAATGGATGGATGGACGGATGGTTGGACAGACAGACGGATGGATGGATGGATGGATGGACGGACGGACGGATGGATGGAGGGATGGATGGATGGAGGATGGATGGAGGGGATGGATGGATGGAGGGATGGATGGATGGAGGGATGGATGGATGGACAGACAGACGGATGGATGGATGGATGGATGGATGTATGGACGGACGGACGGACGGACGGATGGAGGGATGGATGGATGGATGGATGGATGGATGGATGGATGGATGGATGGATGGAGGGAGGGGGATGGATGAATGGACAGACAGATGGATGGATGGATGGAGGGATGGATGGATGAATGGACAGATGGATGGATGGATGGATGGATGGATGGATGGATGGACGGATGAAGAAAGAAAATCCAGGTGGAAATTTGACAGTTTTTTTCTCTTTAGAGTCGATGAAAGAGATCAGAGAATAAAATCTGCAGCTCTCAGAAACTCCACACAAACCTGGTCCAGAAGGAAACGGAGGCCGTTGCAGCGCAACGAAGCCCCTGCCTAAATATGGCCATCACATGTGAACGCTGAGGGCCTCCCTGCCCTCAAACAAACCCCAGACTCTCAGTGAACCAACCACATGCTCTTCCCTCGCCAATGAGGACCAGCCGGGAATGAGCTGCCAGGCGGTAGAGACACTGGACATCGGCCCACACCCAGAGGAACCCTGACGTGGAAGCTGAGTGGAGTAAACACTGACAGCACCGTCTGCCGTGCTGTCATCCTCCACACACATGTGTGTGTATGTGTGTGTTTGTTTACCTGTGCCTCACAGATGCACAGATGGGAAACACTTAATGCATGCTACCTCTGTGGGTTGTCTGCTCCGAGCCTCGAGGTTCCGGTGCAGAACGTCGGCATGAGTTGGATCCGGTTACGTAAGGTATTTTCCCGCTCCTCACCTGAGCTCTTTAAATTAGAAAAAGCTACCAGATCAGTTCTTGCATAAGCATTTTTCTTCCTAATGTATCTCATATGGAGACCATTTTGATCTGATGTCAAAATCATGACATGATAAAATAATCTGCGGTTTAACCGGAGTTGGGTAGTAAGTACATGGGGGAAAAAAGTACTTTTAGGCGTATTTGTACGTTTGATTTTTATTATGAAGTATTTCTACTATTACTTGAGTAAAACTTCTGGATTTTCTGCACAGTGAATGAAAAACAGAAAAACATGTTTTAACCAAACAAACACCTGCAGCTTTTGTTAAAGTTTCATCAGTTTTTGTGTTAAAATAAACTGATTTGGAAACATTTACTGTTAGTTTTTGTTACTTATATGAATTATTGTCATTTCCATCCTTAAAATACCAAACTTTCCATTTAGCTTTATATTTTGTCCAGTCTGATAATGTAATTTTTTAATTTTAAATGATTGATAATTTGCCCAGTTACTCAGTACAAGACTTTTTACCAAATAACTTTTACTTCTACTTGAGTAAAATTATGAAGTATTTTTACTTTTATTGGAGTAAAATTTCTGGATTTTCTACCTACTGAATGAAAAGTAAACATGTTTCAGCCTAAAGGTTTTGTTAAAGTTTCATAAGCTTTCTTATTGATAGAAACTGATTTGGAAACATTTTCTTTTCTTGACTTTGATCATTTCTTGTTACTTCTACTAAAATTTCCACTATATTTTATTCTGGCTCATCTGATGATATAATTTTTATATATTAAATGATTGATCTTTTGATCAGTTACTCAGCAGTTCAGTACAGTTTTGAGTAATTTCTTGGATGGCTTCTTTTTACATTTATTTAAGTAAAAATATGTTGAAGTACAGCTTTGTTTACTATTTTTTTGGCTCCAAATGCTTCCTCCACATAAAATTCTCTCTATTTGATTATATTTTGATATATTACTATATTCCCAACAAAGATTACACCAGAAGTGGACGATGTCTTTGTGTTGGGGCCTGGAAAACCTTCTTTCTATCTGAAACCATTCAGAGTTTCTCTTTTCAGGCAGATGAAAAGCAAACTGTGCAGCCTCAGAGTCTTACACAACTTACTGACCTGTTTATATGCTCAATTTAATTTCAGCCTCTCAGGGGAGTAGGACATTGTTTATGCACTTGATGCAACGTGAGCACACTTTTTTTTTTGTTGCTTTGCGCACTGCAGCATCAAAAATTCACTCAGACGACTTGTTTGTTTTTTGAGAAAAGCCAGAGAACGTCTGGAATAGAAGAAATCCTGCATCCAGAACTCGCTGTAATCTGGTTTATCTTACACATTATGCAACATAGTAATGATATGAATAATCTTATGATTTAATAAGATTACCATGGGAAGAAAGTGTAATCTAATTGCTGGGAGTTCGTATTTAAATAATCTCTTAATAGTCCGTTTATTTGTAACTTTCTGGTATTTCGGCTCACCAGGAGTCGAGCCCACGTGTTTTCTGAATGGAGTTTTGGTGGGATGGCGCATTTCTTTCTGGAAAATTTTAAAATCTAATTTTCCAGGAAATCCCAGAGCAAAGGGGCCTAAAAACGTTGCTCCAGGTCATGTGAGGAAGTCCTACCAGGAAATTTTAAAATCTAATTTTCCAGGAAATCCCAGAGCAAAGGGGCCTAAAAACGTTGCTCTAGGTCATGTGAGGAAGTCCTACCAGCCTGCAGCCAGATGCGCTCCAGAGTGGCCCAGATGTAAGTGGGACCCTGGCGCCGGGTGGAGCTCAGGTCCGACACCTCCGACAGCGCCGCCTCCAGACGGGACACCGCCACCGATGGCGGGCTGAGCGATCCTGGAAGAGGAGGAGAGGAAGCTATGTTTTTTCAAAAATTCGATCCACCTCCTCTCTGAGCTTTTATTGCTGTCTGAAGAACTGGATCGCTCCCAACCAAAAACAACCAATCAGAGTGAGGAGGCGGGGCTTAGCGCTGTCAAACAGTCCAATATACCCACTGCTAAAGGTGCTAATGGGGAAGAAAGAACTTATAGTTACAAGAAAACCATTTATCTGCTGTCATCGGTGGCTATGCTAACTAGCCTGAGCATTCACAACAAGCTATGCTAGCAGCAGCGTAACAGAGAGCAATGGGAGTGAGCAGCGCCACACAGAGGGATGATTGACAGCGCGAATGCCCTCCTCCTGACTCTGATTGGTTGTTTACAGTCATCACTAGGAGAAGGCAAAGAAGATTGATCTTTTTTCTAGTTTCTCATTTTGTCTCTATGTGATGATTTTAGTAATTTTTGTAAACATCTATAAAATGCCTTGTTGCTGAAATGTGCTTTACAAACAAACCTGTTTGACCAAAATTATCACAGCTTTCTTTTGAAATATTTGTTTCCCAATATCTCTATATAATAAGTGAAATATGGAACAATAAATAGTGTTGATAGATCTGAAATAACCTCGAAAAATGTAACTTTTTGTTCTCGTTCATAAAGTTAGATGGAAAAATGTCAGCAGATCTTCTGTTTTTCACGGATTTCCTGTTTGATCCTGACAGAAACGCGGGTCAGAGGTCGAACTCATCACTTTTATTCAAACACAAATAGAGTTTTAATCTGGAAACTAAAGGTAACAGATGTATTAAATCCAGCATTTTAAATCAGGTTTTGAATGAAGAAAGCAGACCTGTGGAGGCGTCCTGGAAGTCCGGGAGGTTGAGGTGGATGGAGGGCTTCCTGACAACCGGGCTGACCTCTGACCTCTCACCCATCGGTATGCTGCTGCTGTCATCCGTCTCACTGTCAAATGTAACCAACAAATCTGAATTAAAAGGAGATCCATCATGTAAAAATAAAAAACAACCAGTTACTAATTGTAGCCAAACATTCAACAAAAAGTGCCAAGAATGTTAACAGCAATGCTTTAAATATTATCTAACATTACGTACTACAAAAGTGTTGAACTATTAAAGTCAGAGAAAGTGACACCTCTGAAAAATGATTCATCACCACATCAAGTGAATCACAGAGTGGGCAGTAAAGTTACACTGATGATCTCATATCAGCGCAGAAACAACAATTAAAGTGATAATTCAATTAAACTAAACAAGCTGGATCAAGGCAGCAGCGACAGCAGCCATTATGCCAGCGTCCAAACTGCTCTGCAGTGATCTGGGAGAGATCTGGTCGCTTTCCCCTTTGCACTAAAACACCAGAGCGTCGTGTGATAAGCAAAGCAGCAGAGGTTCCTATCTGCACGTTTACCTGGAGCGACTGATGTCATACTGGCTGTGCCAGCGCTGCAGCATCTCCTCGCAGGTCTGCAGGGCTGCAGCGGGTCCCAGCACGGCCTCTTCAAGCTTCACCTTCGTCAGCAGCAAACTAAATCGCAACAAACACCTCAATTAGTCGCTTTGTTAGAATTCAAACTCGTGTTTTTGGGTTTCATTGTGTCCCTCGCACTCCAAAAACATTAAATCTGACCAATTACCAGTTGCTTTAAATGAAACAAGTAACTTTTCAGAAACACGTTGAGGCTAGTTTTAAATAATTCCTTAAAAGTAGGAAATAATTCCCCGTTCCATTAGCAGATTATTTCACTTATAATCACAGTTTTGACTTGTTATAAGTTAAATAAAAAATTACCAAATGAAAATCAAACATTGCTTTCAAAATGTGGTTGCAAAAAAATATATATATATTGGTCCCAGACCTATATATATATATATTTCTCTGACAGAGGTCAAAGTTTAAAGGAAATTACAAACAGCAGGAAATTGAAATTTATTTTTTTTAAATATGTTTTTTTTAAACACATCATGATATGGTAAAATTTTAACAAATATCCACAAAACGTTTTTTGAAAATAAAAGTCATGCACTGCAGCTTTAGAGTTTGTGATTTTAATGAAATCTGAAAACGTTTAAATGGTGTGATTACATTTACAATATGTTGTACCAGCAGCAATGGCTGCTTTTACTGTTGTTGGCAAATGAAACAATAAAATGATTTCAAAACAACCAAAGACCAGAAGGCAACACGGACTAATTTCCAAGAAATGAGGATTGTTATCTCATGAAATGGTGTAGAAAAACTCCGGCCACACTAAGAGCTCGTGAAGTATTGCCGATATCTGAATCAATAAAGCCAAATGGAAGAGAAAGCTGGTCAGCAATGAGCTCTGAAAGGGTTTTTGACGTGTGTGTGTGTGTGTGTGTTGAGAAGCAGCAGAGTGTTTCCGTTTTGCCCTTTTAGCTGAAGACAACTGGTTAAGTGATGTGGGAGTCTCTGATGTGGACGTCTCTGAGTGTGTGTGGGTAAATTGCCAGAAGGGAATCTCAGAGGATGCAGTCTGTCATGGACATCAATCACCCATAAGACTGAAAGATGGGGATCACTGATGGAGAAACTGGTTTTGGTACCAACTGGTGAAAAGACAAAATAAAAACGGGATTAAAAGATGGAGGGATTTCTGTGCAGAAGAGGTGTGTGTGGGAGGAAGGAGGCTGGATTTACTGGCACACAGATGACAAGTGGTGCAGAGGGAGGCTGTGTTAAGGATACGGCTGCCAGCAGGAGTTCACCGGAGCGGGCGTCTGTGTGATGGTGGGTGTCTCGGTGTGACGGAGCTTTTAGCAGCAAGACGGCAGCTCATCCAGGTGACAGGAGCTACGGATGCAGCCGCATTTCCAGCTCGCATTGAAAACACTTTCCTCTTTGTCGAGTCGGTGTACGACATGAGAAATCCTTCTAAGCTTAGATTAGTATTAGTTGGTAAAAAAATATATATACCAAGGGTATAGCTTATGCTTGAGTTGTTTAAAGATGTATCTGAACTGAACTGTTCTTTCTCAATGGATTTGAACAAGAAGAGTTTGGTGAATGGGTTCAAAGCTTAAACAGGGTCAAAAACTACAACCTAACTACAACTACACGTTCTTCCATTTAATATGCAATCATTAGCGTGTCTGATTTATGTGAAGTGACAGTTATAAACTTACACTGACAAAAAAATAACAGCAATTATTTGGGTTATTTAGCCTGTGATGAAAAAAAAAAGTTTTATTTTCATCATGTTATTCATAAATCAATGAAGTCTTGAGCACAATCTAAGCATTTAGCTTTCTAATTAAATATTTAGCCACAAGCAAAATATTTATCTTGCTAACAATATTGATAACTACAAACTAAATATTTAGCTTACCAAACAATTGCTTGCTTACTAGCTAAATATTTAGCTACAAACTAAACATTCAGCTTGCTAATTAAATACAGACTTAGAATTAGAGACTTAGACTTCCTTTATTGTCATTGTACAAAAAAAACACAAGGTGAATCTTGACAACGAAATGTCGTTACTTGGCTACCAGTGTAGCAGAGCTAAAACCTTATACTACCCAATAAATAAATAAATACAATACAAGTGCCATAGAATACACAGGTTCAGTGTTGTGAAAAAAACTAAATGTCCATGGGGGGGTGATTTGGTTTGAGAGTGTGTGGAGGGGTGTTATGTGGCGTTAAGCAGTCTGATGGCCCAGGGGAAGAAACTGTTCAGTAGTCTGGTTGTTCTGCACAAGATGCTGCGGAACCTTCTTCCAGACGCCAGGGGGGAAACAGTCCATGGTTGGGGTGGGTGGGTCGGAGAGGATCTGGTGAGCAGATAGGCAGCGCCTCTCTGCGATGTCCTTGATGCAGGGGAGCAGAGCCCCCGTGATCTTCTCCCCTGTCCTCACCACCCTTTGTAGAGACTTCCAGTCAGAGGCCCTGCAGCTCCCAACCAGATGGAGATGTAGGGTCAGTTGGCTCTCGATGGTCCCTCTGTAGAAGGTCTGAAGGATGGGGGCGGGAGGGATGCTCTCTTCATCCGACGCAGGAAGTGCATGCTGCTGGCCCTTCTTCACCAGTGAGATGTGGGAGACCAGCTGAGGTTTCGTTGATGTGCACCCCCAGGAACTTGGTGCTGCTGAAGACCTCCACTGCTGAGTCGTTGATGAGGAGTGGTGTGTGGGTGGGTCTGGATTTCCTGAAGTCTACGATGATCTCCTTGGTCTTGTTGACATTCAGGATCAGGTTGTTTCCTCTGCACCAGTCCACCAGATGCCGCACCTCCTCCCTATAGGCCGTCTCGTTGTTGTCCCGGATGAGGCCCACCACTGTGGTGTCGTCTGCGTACTTCAGGATGTGGTTGGATCTGAAGTGTGGACGGCAGTCGTGGGTCATCAGGGTGAACAGCAGGGGGCTCAGGACACAGCCCTGAGGGGTGCCGGTGTTCAGGGTGATGACATCGGAGGTGTTGTTCTCCATTCTGACAGCCTGGGTTCTGTCAGTGAGGAAGTCCAGTAGCCAGTTGCAGAGGGGGGTGTTAATTCCTAAGGGGCCCAGTTTGCCCACCAGGTCTTGGGGGATGATGTGTTGAACGCTGAGCTGAAGTCCAGGAACAGCATCCGCACGTGGGTGTTCTTCTCCTCCAGATGCTCCAGGCTCTCAGGTGGAGAGCAGTGGAGACTGCATCCTCAGCACTGCGCTTGGACTGGTATGCAAACTGGAAAGGGTCGTGTGATGGGGGGAGCGTGGAGATGATGTGGTCCTTAACAAGTCTTTCGAAGCACTTCATGATGGTGGATGTCAGTGCGACGGGGCGGAAGTCGTTAAGGCATAGCCACTAGCAAAATGTGCTTGCTAATTCAATAATTAGCTATTTTGCTATATTTAGCGGGAAGGCCTGATTTGCAAACATTCAAAACTAAAAAGTGTTTTGAAATAAACATTAATGAGCAGCACATTTTGCAGCAAGGAGATTGAGAACTTGAATCCCAGTCTGCTTGTTCTCTCTCTTTAACATGACTGTTGGGTTAATTGCTTTCTACAAATTGTCCCCAGGTGTGTGTGAGTGTGTGTGCATGCTTGTTGCGTCTCTCTATTGCCCTGAGGTCAACTGGCAACCTGAGACCCTGCAAGAACAAGCAACAGATGGATTTATCCAGAAAATCCCCTATTTTCTATTAAATGACTGATAATAAGGTGGAAACGATTCCACCTCGCTCTTCTGCACCTCAGTACAATCTGTGTTTTCCCAGGCAGCGTCGGAAAAGGTAGATTTCACCAAGATTGCAACACTTGAAACTACACAGCGGATTACACAGGTTGTCATTTTCCTGCCTCCCGGGACGGAGCCGGCCGTGTGCGGAGCGCAGTCAGTGCGCGGCGCAGCTCTGAGTAAACGCTCGGGGTCGGAGTGCTGAGTGGTGAGCGCCAGCGTAAACTCCGCTCATAAAAATAGCTAATGATGGTCCCTCCTGGAAAAAAAAAGTAGTACATCTACTATATTACTCATTCCGCACTCCCACAGATCAGAGAGTCTCTGGAAGCACATGAGGCGTGAACACAAAACTGCAGATGTACGACTAGCGTAAATATATGCACACGCACATGAGCGCACACATGCATATATAACACACACACACACACACACACACACACACACACACACACACACACACACACACACACACACACACACACACACACACACACACACACACACACTAGCCTGTGCAGATATGCTTTCAGTTTGCAACCTGACGTACAGTAAGCCATGCAACGCCTAAAATGAATGCTGGCTCTTTAGTACAAACTGTGACACTCACTCAAATGAATGCTTGAGAGAAAGAAAGGAAGATAAAGTGTGTGCAGGGAGGGTGAGAAAAACAACGGAGAGCGATTGGAGGCAGCGGATACAGAAGAAGGCAGAAGCCGGGGGTTGAGGATGTGGGAGAAAACGAGGAAGCAGAAATTTGGTATGCTACAGCGAGCTGACAGTTCGCTGCGGTGCAGAGAGCCAGTGGCTAACTGGAGTCACACACGTCCATGTGCACGCACTCCATACAAAAACACACTCAACACACGCACACATGCACAACATGCATGTGCAAGATTGGACAAATGTTCGCGTACTCGCACCCACACACGTGCAAGCATGCACATATGAAACACACACCAGTCAGAGCCAGCTTTGATCTCTGACACATCCAGAGCCGATGATATTCTGTGGGCCTCCTGCTGAGAAAACACCTCCTTTCATCGTCTCCCTCCGTCTCTGTCGGGAGTCTTGTATTCCAACTTTGAGCTCTGCAGCCGGGCCTCGGCTCAGCGGGCCGCAGCGGCGAGGTTTGAGTATGAAATCAAAAATGCTTTACTGAATAGATGCTCTGTGTTTCATCATTCTAATTTAAACAGTGCACTGTTTCTTTTTATTTAGGCACGGCTGTCTAAGAAGATCAGTTTCAAGGCCTGACATTGATTCTCTGTAGAACTTTAAAGCTGCTATAAGCAATTTTTATAAAACATAAATATTGTTTTTGCATATTTGATCAAACTGTCTCTATGTCATAACCGATATGAGACAAATCTCCACCACTTCCTCTCTCTGAGGTATACCTGAAAAAATGCCCCGCTCCTGACCAACAACGACCGATCAGAGTCAGGAGGCGGGTCTTAGCGCTGTCAATCATCCTCATGTAGTCGCAGTTAAATGGGCTAATGGTGGAGAAATATCTTACTGTTACAGGAAAACCTTTTTAACTATAAATAGTATTCACAATGGGATCTGCTGATGGGGAAAAGCTGCAGCTGCAGCAGAGAGTAAAGAGGGAGGACAGAGGAGAAGAGCAGCACCACGAGATTGTGATCAAAAGTGTTAAGACCCGCCCCTTGCATCTGATTGGCTGACTATTGTTAGCACTGGGAGAAGAAGAAGGGATTGTTATTCTGGGATTGTCTTGTATTTCACCTCTCATCAACTCTGATCGTGTTTTCTGTCTGTGCTGAAGAAAACCATTCCCGCAGTATGATGGTATCACCACCATGTTTCACAGTGTGTTCAGGGTGAGTATCACTTCTCCTCAATATATTTCTCCCTGACCTGTCTGCTGTGATGCTTGGTATTTACAGAACAGATGCATTTACATTGAGATGAAGCAATGAACAGGTGTTATAGCTCTAACCGTGTCACTGATTTATAAAAATAAAAACCATCCGGAGAAAAAACAAATAGTTTTCCACAGCAGATGTTACTCATTTACATAGGAGCAACCATATTAGAGCCACACTGTCTAAACTTTAAATATCTTATCTCTTTACAATAATGTGCATGTTGTGCTGGTCTGTCTCCAGTAAAATGCATTGCATGATATGAAGAAACAAAACATTCTGTTGAATATTTGTGGAAATCTTCAGGAATGTTAATTCTGCTTCTGCTGCAGGCGAGCAGGTTATAACTTGTCAGACAACGACAGTTGGTATATTTTTTGTTAAATGGTTCAAACCAGATATTTACATGGACCGAATACAAAGACACGTTTGTTTTCTTACTGTCTGGAGTAAAATCGGACCAAAGTTCTCCTGGTTTAGGTTCGTAAGAATTACTAAAATTATTTATGAGTAAGCATTTATTTTCCTTTTGACCGATTTTTAGGTGGAATGGTCTCATGATGAAAACCTGCTAATGTTGGCTCTAACATAATATAATCACTTCCAAGTTGGTCAATTAATGAGATTTTCAATCGTCATTTATTCAACAAGATTAATTAAATATTAAACATGCTTAAAAAAAAGAAGTTAAAAGAAGTAACGTGTTGATTGATTTTAAAGCTGTTCAGCCGAAGATATCGTCACAAAATCACAAGAAGGAGGGAGCTAGCACAAGAAAGCACAGGCAATAGAAACGGGCATTTTGTGGCATACTGATTCATAATTATAAGTTTCAGATAAATCCTGACGCAGAATTATGACCATGCCTCACACCAGAACGTTTAGACTACAGATGCTTTGAAAACTACTGGATTCATAACACAATTCTGAATTTTTGGAGAAGTCAAAAAAAATTAAAATGGGTTGTTCAACCTGCAATGAAAAAAAAAATCTTATTTGATTGAATATCTCTTGAACGTAGCGGCCATTTTGATCGACTCTGTGAATCAAGGTAAATTTCCTCTCTTCTCTACACTGATGCTGAGTTTGAACTTCAACAAATTGTCCTTCACACATCTAATAGTATAAATGCATTGAGCTGACTGGCTATTTGCATTAAGCGGTTGAGCTGGTGTGTCTAATGTCGGGGTGTCAAACTCACATTCGCCTCGGGCCAAATCAAGATCATGACTATATTGATAAAACTCGTCAATAAACAGTTAGATATTAATATGGCTGTATTTAATAAATACTTCTTAAAATGAAATAATATTGAACCTGTTTCACATTGGTCAGCCACTCCAGAATTTTACGATTATTTTGGGATTTATTTTGCCACCAGAATCAGTGATTTTGAAATATTTGCAAGGAATTTTGAGATGTTTGCACGCAAGTTACGCCATATTGATCCCAAATAAGACATAAGGAAATAAGGCTGAGGCAGTATTTCTTCGTAAAAGTAAGAAATACTGCCTTCTACAGGAGAGAATTATCACTTAAAAATGTTTTTCACAATTTTTGCAATAAATCCACAATTATGCATAAGCATAAAAAAATGCTGGGATCTGTTGACGTTAATGCGAATTTCCACAGAGTTACAGAAAACTGGAGGGACTGGTTGACCTAATTTAGCTCAGATAAACTGCGATGACGGGCCACGTTCGCCCCCCAGGCTTTGAGTATGATGAATGTGATTTAATGAGTTTACGGTGTCAAATCCTGATGCAGCAGAAAAGATAAGGCATGTCTTGTCTTCTTCATGGTTTTTATTCTAAATTTCATGTTTTGTTAATTTATAAAATTATAAGTGAAGCAAGTCATGAAGCAAAACGTTTCAAGTCAGACATCGACTACAGACTCAGTTATGTCACTCTCTCTGCTTCCCTCTGACTCAACATCCCTTTTTTTTTTTTTTTTTTTTTTTTTTTTGCAGAACCGTAACGACGGGTTGACGCGACAACCACTGCCTGCCCTACCAGTGTGACCTCACGGTTACCGGGGCAATGGGGGATTCCTGGCGCAGCGAGCGGCGTGATTGGCCGAGCCCGGCAAAGAGCTCTTAAATGGGTCAAAGCAGTCAAGTGTCTCCACCGAGGAGGTGTAAAAAATGTGTGTGCGCGTCTCCGAGCGTGTGACTGTGCATCCAGGCAGACTGGGAACAGACCTCATCATCCGACTGTACATGCAGCGAAAAGGATCGGCCTGCGCGGTTATAAAAGCGCCCACCCACTCCCTTCCTCCCCGACGCTTCCTGTCAGGCTCTGATGTCCTTCGTTATTTCATCAATTTTCTTGTTTTTCTGCTCCCTCCACCAATCTCTCTCCCACTTGCATGTTTGACAATCGCCCATCTGTTTGTGCCGGGGCGCGGAGGACAACACTGACCCCAAATGGCCGTGATACGAAATGCTTTTCAGCGCTCTGAAAGCACATCAGAGGAATGATGCAACATGCTGCCATATTAGTGTGAAAGGATCAGCCTTGGCAGGTTTTATTGCACACGTCCATCCTCCTCAGGTAATGAGCACATTCCTGGTGTTATTGCAGCTCTGTGATACACCAGAGAGACAGATACTGTAATAATGGTGCAAAATTTACAACATTTATTGAGAAACGCCTTCAAATTTTGCCATTATTTTACTTATTAAATCAGTTATAGTTGCAAATGTTGCAATAACTAACATATACACAGGTGAAACGATTAATCAATTATTCAAATAATCATTTAATTTAGTGATTGATTAATCATTAACTGGAGTATAAAGACTCATAAAAATGCAATTTGCTGACAAAACTGTACAAGATAAAAATAAACTTTTTTGTCTTTAAATATGTTCTACCCAGAACTCCTCTAGTGGCTTAGTAATAAACACAAAAAATAAACTAATGTGACAAAATAAACAATTAAGAAATGATTGCGACAGAAAATACATCAGAATATGACAAAAGTAGCTCAAACAAAATCATAGCTAGCTCTCTGAAGTTTCTGTTGTCAGTAACATTTACCACAGAATATCTGTGTTTAAACTGGTAAATGTAAAATAATCACTGGCTCTCGTCAGATTTCAACATTATTTTGCATTTTTTAAGACTTTTATTAGTATAAAATGATTAATTGTGATGAATCGATTAATCATCACCCAGTTCAAATTCTGTAGAAATATGTTCTCCTAAGTCACCTTTTGCTATCTTGCTATTAATCAATTAATCCAATCAGCAGATCAGCTGTAAACTGTATCGATGTAAAGTTGAGCAGGAAGGCCTCAGTACTTATTCACCTGCAGATACATCCTTTGCTACAAATGATCAACCGTATGGGAAAGGAATGCTACGTTATTGGACTTTAAACAGAAAATTTTGATTTTCTTATTTCAAAAAGGAACTGATTTGCTTATTTGTATTTTTAAAGTGTACTATTTCTAACATTGTATGAAGACATGAGTGATTGAATGAGCAATCTGCAGAATGTGGCCTTTTTTAGATCTGATTAATCGTCAGTGTTACTAAAATAATCGATGCCTTGCAATGCAAGGCGACACGTCCCTCTGAAGTAGCTGTAGGATTGTTGTCAGAACTGCAGCGATGAAAGGGTGAGGGTGCATGAGGGGCATCGGTGCTGCAATGCAGGCTTCCCACTCTGGCACGTCTAAATAAGGCGTCGAGACGGCGCCTGTGTTTGTGCGCTTGGTTTCCACCATAGTGCAGCCAAGACACCCAATCCCTACAGAGAGCTCTCTGTGAGAACAGCTCTGGAGCTGCTTTCCATCATAAACACTCGCAAAAACAGCAAAAATAAAAAGTTCTTCTCTCCGCTTTTCCTGTTTGATGTGTGATTGGGTGGGTGCAAGTGTTTGCTTTACTTCAAGTTGTCCGGATGCTGGCTGAGGGCCAGGCTGATGGTGTCCAGGGCGTGGCGGTGATGTTTCTGGGAACTCAGCAGCAGGGTCAGCAGGTGGAGGGACGGCAGGTCATCGGCGCGCAGAGACAGAGCCGTTTGTAGTGGCTCCATGGCTGCAGACACCTGGAAAAGCAAAACGGTTTTCAGGTGAAACGTCAAGACGCTGTAGCTGCAATTCTGTTACAAAACTACGCAAATCTTTGTCGATATTTTGCTAATGTTGAAACTTGTTCACACAGTAAGTTATTAAAAATCATGGCAGAAAAAAATAAATGAAAAGAAATCATCATACTCCTGACACTTCCTTTCTTCTCTGTGGTTTCCACCAGTAGTAACATCCACTTGTTGATCATGTGACGTGTGATAAGAAGAGAAAGATTTCCTTTGCAGTTTTGCAAAACATCCAATTTTCACACGATTGAAAAACCACCTCATCTCAGCAGCACAACTTTTTACTGAAACTTTCAATTAGCGCAGTTTTGTGGTCAACAGAAACGCAGCTATTAGCAGCGTCTTCATTGTATAATTGTTCAGTTTGACATTTTGAAAATAAATATGCTTAATGGAATCACAACAATTTACAATCCAAGCTCTTGTTTGTTGATAAAAAGTTTTGCCGCTTGGTTTTTGGTCTAGTCGAAGTTGCTAAACTGCAATAGAAAGTTTTTCTGCATTGCGTAATCAACAAGCAGAAGTTACTACTGGCAGAAATGTTGAAGAAGACAACAGGAAGTGGTAGGAGGATGATGCCGCTGAATATTTTTAATGACTTATTGAGAAACAAACTTTTTCACACATAATTTTAATTCTGTTTCTTATTTAATGGAAACCTCACAATTTCAAAATGGTGTTTTTTCAGCATCAATGTACCTGGCGTACGAGGGCCAGCTGGAGAGCCAGGTACATGGAAATCTGAGCGTCCTGGGGGTCTAATGAATTGGCTCTGTGGAGGAAACCATGCAGTTTTGATAAATCATATTGAGCCTTTTTATTGCTTATTATGAAAAGAATAGTGACAAATAAATAAAAGGTATGAAGACAAGCAACACATACTTGTTCAACGCCTGCAAGGCTTTTTTGTTGAACTCATTCCGGTCAGCTGACAGAGTGGCTGAAGACAAAAAACAAAAACAAATCGAGGTTAGCGAGTCACACAAAAGGTTAGAATCTCCAAATCCAAATATCCGTCCGTACAGATTCACACTCATGTGGACAGACTGAGGACGAGGTGAGACTTTACCCTCAGAGGCCTGAAGGCTGAAGCTGAGTCCCAGAGCCAGGTACGCCCTGGGGAGGAACTCCCTCGCCTCCTCTCCCATCGATGCCACGCGCTTTGACAGATTCTCCGCCTCCTTGAACTTCACATGAACACACAGACACACTTAGCCTTCGATACATGGACTTCTTCATTATTTTGTATCCGATTAATCGATTATTCTGACAAGTAATCGAATATAAATGTAAGAAAATGCAAATGAATAATTCAAATCCTTCTTTCAATAAGAAAAACAATATTTTATTGCCTAAAATGCAACAAAAACATTGTTTTTTAACCCTGATCATTTGTAGCAAAGGATGCATCTGCAGCTAAAAAATCCTAGGAACATGTGAGAAGCTCAGGTCTTTCTGCTCGACATCAATAAACCTGTTGATTTGTTTTGAAATGATCAAGGTTTTCTCAAGTTTTGTGATTGGATGAATCTGTTTTATTTCCACATAGATGGACAATAAAGGTTTTGCTCCAACTTGTCACTTTCTCGGTAACCAATTACACCTGTCGATAAATTATATTGTTTTGAGACCATTTTCATCCTCAAAGATCAATAAACTTTAATTTAACAGTGGAACTGGAAGATTATATCCAAAATAAATAAACAAAACAAAGGAAACAACAAATAAAATGAGTTATCTCTGTAAATAAAATTGTTCTTGCTAGTTGAGACAAACCACCAGACTGAAGTATTTTGTCATCCAGTTTTTGGTAGAAATAGAGAAAAACGATAAATCATACAAATGTAAATTATTGCTTCTCTTTAATTTATCATCAGATTAGTTGATTTATTGGATACCTAATCGCAATAAATTCTGTTATAATTTGGCTTCCAGGTAAATTTCCTACCATGACAGGCCTAGTGATGCTTGTAACACAGTTTGAATCGCCTGGAATCACCTTGGATATGAAAGGTGCGACACAAATAAAGTTCCTCCGCTGTGCAGCAAATGGTGCTGCAGCAGGGAATGAAGTATTGATGGGCTGGGCCTGCTGGGAGTTTAGTGTGGGGACAGTCAGAACAGATTCAGCTGAAGGACAGCGCAGAGTTTGTTGAAGGACACACACACACACGCCCACACACAGGCGGCAGCAGCAGCAGACTGCAGGCGAGGGAGAAAGTGTGCCATATGGTTTGAGAGCTGCGACTGGTGGCGGAGAGGCAGGTGGGGAAGGTGGGTGTAAGGGAGTAACGCGAATGTCGCGCTCCCCTTCATCCTTTTTGTCTGCGTTTCTCTGGATCCCGCATTTTACTGCACAGCCTGTCTGCGAACATCTTAGGAGGATTACGCTGTTGTTGTTTTTTTTCTCTCTTGACTGATGTGAAGATCTGCAGTGCTGCTCTTCAGGAATTTAGAAAAGCAGCTTTGCTTCCAGATCATCAGTCCTGCTGCAGATATCATGGAGTCGTAGAGAAACCTCAGCGATGTTCAGAAAGCTTCACGTGGTTCTGGCTTAAGGAGCGTAATGTCGCTGGACAGATTACAGCCCAGACTGTCCGGTGGAGCTGACGGTGGAGAGCGGTGGCCCATTTCTGTAATGCCGCTCTGCACTATGGCCATAGTGTCCCATTGTGATTAAAACTGTAAGCTCCTTAGTGTCTCTGGCCTGCCATGATCTCCAGCCACTAACAGATGCGCTGTCTCCATTCGCCTGTTGGTTCCTCTCTTCTAATCTGGCCTCACTTTCTCTTCCCGACTCATTTTATCTCTGCATCCATTGATCCCACTCTTTATTGATGGATGAGGTTTTATCAGGGAGAAAAGAGAGGAAGCTAACCCAACATAGCAACTTTTCTGCTCTGGATGATAAAACATGGCAGAAAACTTCTGACTGATCACACAACGTGTCACACAAAGCTGCGCCAAATTATTTACGTCAACAAGAGTCGATTTTGGTTCTTGACACGATAAATTGTGCTGGACAATAAATTGTCCCAGAAATTATTGCGATAAACAATAACGTTGTTTTGAGACCATTTTCAAGTAACATAAACACAACGCAAAGATTAATGGGATACAAAAATTGTCACATTCTGCAGATTTTTTAATTTAACATTTCAAGCCTTTTAATGCAATATCAGAAATACATAGAAAAATGCAAATAAACACTTCAATTCCCTTTTTAAATGAAAAAAGAATAAACATTTTGTTGCCTAAAATGCAATAGCAACATTCCTTTAGTGAAAGCTTGATCATTTGTAGCATATACTGGGTTTGCCCCAGTATACTATAAGCCTGGCGGGCCACCAGGCTTAAAATGACCCCCCTGCCAGTTATGCGTCGTTTGTTTATTTTAATGCAGCAGTGACAGCAAAAAAGGGGTAAGATAGGTTTATATATAATAAAACATCAGTAATCTTTAGCAGACTATTATCTATTTTAAAAAAATAACATTTGATTCCACATACAAAACCTACAGAAACACCAGTTTTATTTAGAGGACAGCTATATTTTCTTAGCTGTTGTTTTATTTTCAGAATTTCCTTTTAGCTTTTTACATTTTTAGGACACATCAAAACTTACAAGTTATATTTCAGAAAGATATAGGAGCTTTATTGTAAGTCAATAATTTCTTAAAATTGGGAAAGAACTACTTTTTCCATTGGCAGATTATTTCACTTATAACAAGTGAAATATTTAGGATTTTTTCATAAATATTAAGGATTTACTTACTTAAAAGAAACTCCTTTATCTTACTGAAAAGTTACTTTTATGTTAATTTAGTTTTATTTCAAGTGAACTAAGATATTTGTTCTAGCAGAACTAGACCAGAAAAACTTGGTAAGATTTTGTGTTTTTGCAGTGAATCTGAGTGCTTTCTGTCAGGTTTATGTGCTAACATGCAGGTGTTGCGATGCATTCACCCAGTGCAGTTGACCGATGCAGATCTTAGCAGCCAGCAGGGGCAGCGAGGGGTCGTCTGGTCTCATCCTGGTGCATTCTTTCAACACAGACACAGCGCCGACCCACTGCAAAACACACACACCAGAACGAACTGGGAGCATTAAACACACATCAACTGTCCTCACACAGCCCTGACAGACCCTTTTAGACACACAGTCACTTAATATATGTAGGTCGATCATTAGTGGACCAAACGCGCACACACACACACACACGCACACACACACACCCACACACACACACAGCAGGGCAAGCCTGGGATAAAAGCGGATCTGACGACACCGAGCCGGACCCACTCTCCTTTTAGGGGCCAGACTATTTCTAGAGATCCCGATTGATCAGAGGTATCGCTTTATCGCACAGCAGGGATCAATTTTTCTGCTGCACAAAAACAAACCAACACACACACACACACCCACACACACACACACACACACAGACATGAGGGAGGAAACTGGAGTTATTCTTCTAACAGCGTTGCAATGTTTCAGATTGCATTCACTGCAAAAACACAAAATCTTAAAAAGTATTTCTGATCTAGTTCTGTGTGCAAATATCTTGCTACACTTGAAATAAGGTGACACTAACTTAGAAGTACATTTACAGCAGGAAATCGAGGCTTGTTTTAAATAAATACATCCTGAAGTTAGATTAAAAAGTTCTAGTTATATTGCCAGACAGAAAAATGTCTTGTTATAAGTTAAATAATCTTCCATTAGAACTTGCATTTTTCATCATTATTAAGGAATTATACACTTGCAAGCCTCCATTTCTTACTGAAAAGTTAGATTAAACAAAAATACTTGGTAAGATTTTGTGTTTTTGCAGTGCATGCAGTATAAAATGTCCACTAAGCTATTCGCTGCACGTGCGGGACATGATGGTTGGACGGGAGGCGAATGTCTCCTCTGGGTGTAGAGTCTTGATGCATAAGGAGAAATGAGCTCACCTTTCCGGCCGCCATGAGCGACAGGCCCAGCTGGTGCCAAAGGTGGAACTCGTCATATGAAAACTTCATGGCTCGCTCCAGACACTGCGAGCAAACACAGACAGGCTGCAGCTTTCACAACACAGGATGCTCAAAAACTACAAATAAACTGTTAAAAACTGACTCTTTTCCTTTGATGGAAACTTTTTAAACTACTTTTAAGAACTAACTGAGGATACTGGACTGTTTCATAACTGAGATCAATTTGCTGAATGGGTGATTTATTTTGTAAATGACATTTGTTGTAAATTGGCACTATGGAGATAAATTAAACTTAATTAGCTAAAGTGAAAGTCCCACATTAACATTAATACTTGAGTAAAAGTAAATAAGTACATACTCTTAAAAATACTTTACGTAATGAAAGTGAAATTAATATTTTACTGGAACTACCACTTTTTAAAATCAATATTAAGAAATTACTGACTTAAATCAAGCTGTATATACTGATGAAAAGTTATTTGTTAATTACTTTTGTCTTATTCAAAGAGTAATAACATATTTGCACTAAAAGCTAAACATAAAATACTTTGTCAGACTTGAACAAAGTAAAACAGATGGAAGTTTTGACACCAATTTACATCACACACATCATACGAGAGGTAAATTAATTTGTGAAATTATGATTTCTTAAAGTAAAATTGTTGAATGTATTCCTTGATGCCTTCAACAGTGGTGTCCAAAATGTACATATGTGCTGAACAATGGCTGCTGTTTTGTTACCGACTTATCATTTAGAAACCACTTGCTGCATTATTGTTGATTGTGCAGGGCGCTCCACTTCTGCTTTTCAAAGATTGTATGCTTGTAGAATTGCGTGTCTGTTTGCAGCCATTTTCACCTGTGAGTGTAAATGTTGAGTTGGCCAGCAGCAGCTTATTTGGATTTAAAGTGACAGAGCCCTAAAACAGCTGACCAGAGTAAAACCTAACCTGTTCAAAGAAGTGTAAAATTTCACCTTGAAGTTCAGAACAAATGCATTAGAAATGTATTTAACTACAGCAACAAAGTATTTGTACTTTTCTGCATCCCACCTCTGATCAGAGAACATTTCTTTTAGAGGTTTCGACTACGTCATGTCCTTCCTGAAGTAAATTAGCTTGAAAGTGCTTGTCAGTCAGCGCTCAGCGCCCACTCTGTGCTGCTTCGCTGCACAATGTGATTGACGTGTGTGGGGTTTCGCTCAGTCAGAGGTTGTCAGTCAAGCAGGAAATGAGGTCCGCCTGATGTTATGATTAAATATTATTCTCTAAATGGAAAAGACATGAGCCTTCCCTCCACCCCACACCTAATTCTGGTATCCATTTACAGATACCAGCTCGGCCCAATTCAGGTTTTCATTCTGCAAAAATCACAGTACCTTCCAGTTTCTAGTGCAAATATCTAAATAAGACAAAACTAACTTAAAAGTAACTTTTCAGCAAAAAACAGAGGCTTGTTTAGAGTCAATAATTCCTTAATATTAATGAAAAAGTTCTGGCAGATTATTTCACTTAAGACTGTATTATAAGTGAAACAATCTCCTAATGAAATTAATATCTAAGTATTAAACATAAAACAAGCCCTATATCATAAGTTTTGTATTATTTCAAGTGAACCAAAATGTTTGTACTAGAAAAGAGTCAAAAATACTTGGATTATTTGACTTTTACACTCCATTTGGGAAAAAGAAAATGTTTTTTAATTCAATTGCAATTTTCTGGGTGGATATTTTGCCACTGCTCTGGTCAGAGAATCGGTGAACTGGTTGGTTTTCTTAAACTTTCAATTACAGTTCATTCATTTTCAGTAAGGTTCAGCGTAAAACCATTTTAAAAGCTCAATATTAGCCTCCTTTATCCCTTCTAAAACCAGTTTTAATGTCGTTTTGGGATCATTTGTGTGTTAGAATACCAAACTGTGTCCAAGTCTTGCTGCTGATTTAAGGGGGAAGTCAAATTTCTTTTATTTTGTGAAATGTACCATTTGAGAATGAATTGATAAGATTTGTCCACAAACTGTTAAAATATCAATTCTTAAAATCAAGTAATATTGCTGAACATCTTTTCAGTCCCTCCAGGATTTTGTGATTTTGTAATAAAACTCAAAGTGTTTGTGGGGCTAATTTGGAAATATTTGTGCTATTACGATGGTAAATGTGTCTTTTTATTCCTCGCTGTATATATCATGGACTATAATCTGACATCAATTAAGGGTGAGGCAGCTGTTTAGTACAAGTAAGAAAGTTTTTGACAATTTTTGAGAAAAATCTGCAATAGACTCCCAACTATTAGCACAGAAATGCGTAGATTTGTTGATTCTGCATGAATTCTCAAGAGTCTGGAGGGATTGATTGTTATAATTTGGCAGATAAAAACTGCACTGATTTGACTGATGACATAATATTTAAGCACATTTAATGTTTAGTCTTGAATCTAGAGGACCACATAAAAAGCTACGGTGGGCCGGATTTGGCCCACGGGCCTTTAATTTGACACGTGTGTCCTAAACAATTTGTTTTGTTCTGCAGTGACTGTTTGTGTCAGGGATTGAAATTTGGACTCAACTGATCTCTTCTTTTGCTTGATGCTTCCGTTGCATCTCTGTCTGTTTGTGCGTTTCATTTTTCTGGAAAAATATTTGCAGAAATGCGGCTCCTGGAAAAGATGTTGTCAGAAATAAACGATCGATGCTTCCATCAATCAGCCTTGCCAGAGGCGAACTCATGAAATAACAGAGCCTGGATTTTGCTCTCATTTTAAAGAACAGGCTGTAAAAAACTTCTTTTTGTTTCATGCAAAGTTCAACAACCGGCATTGATAGTTACGTGGTATTTCTTTTTATTTTGCTCTGTAAAATTTAAACTGACAAAGGCTATTTTATGTAAAATCTTTTTAAATTTACTTCGATAAATCATAATTTCATGCAATACATTTCCTGTAGTTCAACTTTCTCTGTTGTACTTTGCAGGTACTATGTGGGATGTAATATAAGTTGGTGTCAAAACAAGTGAAACAAAGCATTTTTATAATAAATATTAAGAAATTATTGACTTCAAACAGGCTCCTGGATCTTAATGAAAAGTTCCTTGCAAGTTATTGTCTTGTTTCAAATTGTTTGAGATACTTTTACAAGAAACTAGACAAAACTTCTTGCTCATATTTTGTGTTTTTACAGTGTGAAACAAAGAGAATATGGATTATCCAGTTTGATATCAGAACTTGCAGCCAAACATATCTCATAGATCCATCACTGCTGCACTGAAAATGCTAATTATCTATTATTTTATTAGCAGAAACTTAACCAAAACTTAATATGAGAATTTTCCTGCGGTGGGATTATGACGAAGCAGAAGGGTCTGAAAACAGAAACCTCTGACCTCAGGAGTATGACTTTATTCCCACACCTCAGAGAGCATGGCGTACTGCCCCCTCCTGGCCATGCCGATGGATAGCAGGTCATAGACGGAGGTGGCATCCTGCAGGCTGGCCTGGCGAGCCTCGGCCTGGTCTGGCTGTCGGCTGATTACTGCTTCCCCGCTCGTCTGTTGGGACAAAAACACAAAAATCAGACGGGTGCTGGACGTTGTCTCTGCTGCTGTAGCCGGACCACGCAGTGAAGGACAGGAGTGAGTGTCTCACCATTGATTCTGTGATGAGCAGCAGCAACACAGCCTCCTCCACCACGTCCTGCGGACAGAAGCAGCTGCCAAGACAAAGAAAAAAAAAACACAAAAAAAAAAACAGGAAAAGCTCCAAAACAGGAAGTTTATCGCGCACACAAACACAAACAAAGACGGAGCGACGGCGGATTACCGACAGTGTCTGGTTTCTGTTTCACCTGTGGGGCTGCAACACAATACGGACCACCATGGATGTATCCCTGCACAGCATCATCTCAGATGTCTCACACACACACACACACACACACACACACACACACACACACACACACACACACACACACACACACACACACACACACACACGTCCCACTGAAGGACACAATCAGCAGACAACATCACAACCTTTTATGAAACAACTACGTGACGATAAAAAGCAATCATCAACGCTGACACATGGCTGTTCCTCCGGGGGGAATTCGGCTCCTCCACGCCTGCTAATCTCAGACATGGATTTAGATCTTCACTTATGATAGTGTGGGCAGGATTAGTCATGTGGCGGTGACTAAGTATGGCTCACGGGGGCCTGAGCAATGTTTGCAGGATCCCTCCAACGAGCGAAACGCAGAAATGAAGCAGACGATGAGCTTGATGTGCGGATCGGATGACAAGTTTGTGCTTTTAAGATGGGAAAAAATGTCTGTTTTGACCCAACACTGCAAAAACACAAAAGTATTTGTGGTCTACTTATTAGTGCAAATATCTTAGTGCAGTCAAAACAAGACAAAACTAACTTCTAAGTAACTTTTCAGCAAGAGAAAGGAGCCAAGACGTTGATTTTTTAGTGTCTTGTTTAAAAATAAAAGCAGATTATTTCTCTAATAACATGCGAAAATTTTATTTTTATAAGTGAAATAATCTGCTAATTGAACAAGCACTTTTTCATTAATATTAACGATTTATTAACTTTAAAAAAAGCTCCATCTTGTTTAAAATTATTATCATTCCATAATAATTATTACTGAGTTATACATCTTCTGTTGGATAATAAAGATTTAACAAAAACATTTTTAAAAAATGTATTCAATTATTTTTCAGTAATCAAATGACTCGCATTTTATCCCAACTTTTACAGAGTAGCGTAAGAACCGCCAGGAGGATTATGGAGCGCCGTAATTTACCGACAGCTGATGTAAACTGCTTGTTCAGGGAAATAAAAAACTACTTCAGATCAATTAAAATTGCTAATAAATAGATTGATAAACAAGAAAACAAAGAATATTAAACCAATAACTTCGATTAGTTTTATAAATACACAGCACAGTTTTCCCCTATTAATTACAATGTTTCCTTCAGTTAACAGAAACGTTTTCTCACTTTAATTCTTTTTTGTTTTAATTTAAGTTAATAACCTTGCATCAGTGCAGTATTAAATCCTGAGGCCTCTTTAGGTCCTCAGGTCACACTCAGAGTCCTGAGGCGTACCAGTCTGTGGCGTAGCGTTGAGGCGGTTTGAAGGTGGGGTACATGGCGTCTTTGGAGGCGGCGGCTCCTTCTCTCTGGAGCCAGACTGCAGGCGGGGGGCCCAGCGGGGGCCAGTAGCTGTCCTCGCTCACAGAGCTCAGCAGCACCTGCGCAAGCTTCATGGCTGCACACTGGCATGCAAAAAAAAACAAACACGTTTTCAATGCTGCAACAAATTCAGTCAGAAATCTAGAGCTGGGCGCTACGGCTGGCAAACTTATCACAATATAAGCATTTCATATCAGTCGATTTTGATAATTATTGATGAGTTTTTATGGTTTGTTTTAAATGTGTGAGATACATTTATCCACAGTTGAGTTTTGTATTTTTAAGCCGTTACGACGCAGGGTGGAAAAACCTTGAACTGCTGCTGTGCCAGTTACTTACCAAGCAACAGGGGAGGACTTGAAACTGCTTGGTACCCAGCAGGATGTCGTGAGGTTATTTTTGCTATTTAACCAACCAAAATGTGAGTTAGTTAATGCCACCAACACTGCAAAAACACAAAATCTTACCAAGTAAAAGTTGAAATAGGACAAAACTGACTATAAAAGTAACTTTTTTTAGCAAAAGAGTTTTGTTTTAAGCCAATAATTTCTCAATATTGATGAAAAAGTGCTTGTTCCACTGGGAGATTATTTTGCTTATAACAAGACATTTTTCTCATTTAATAAGCTCATTTATCTACCAAAAAAAGTACTTTTTCATCAATATTAAGAAATTATTTACTTAAAATAAGACTCTATATTTTGCTGAGTTACTTTGTCATACTTCAAGTGCACTAAGATATTTGCAGTAGAAACTAGAACAAAATCATTGGTAAGATTTTGTGTTTTTGCAGTGAATCTTGCTTATCTGGCTATTAGTTGCCTCCAACTCCCAAAATGCTGAGCATTTCTTAATTGTAGTGCAGTAAATATTCTAACCAACTAGTTAGTATTATCTATTGTTATTGATCACGTTTCTGTCACGAGATACATGGTTATTGTTTTACCGGCCAGCCCTGCAGAAATCACACCAGATTCTTGCTTTAAACTTTTTCCATTGTAATGATGAGATATTTGTTGAGTTCCTCACCTTCCTGAAGCTCTGAGACCCTCGCGACTCCACCACCCTGAGCACCCGACGCAGCTGGTGGGCGCCCTGCGCAAGATGACTAACACACACGCAAACACACACACTGGTTATATTTATACACTGGTTTTAAAGATTGACTAAAACTAAATGAACGGTTTTCAGATAACGTAAAACAGCAGCAAATTGTTTTCCATTAACACATGCAGAATCAAATTAAAACTATTGACCAGGCCTTCATTAGAGGGAGCTGACAGATATTTTTTGATTTAATGCAACACTGACACCTACTGGTTCAAAACTAGAGTTGCATTATTTTCTTTCTACAAGTTTAACCTCAACACTTGTTGAAAGAGCAAACAGATTTTTACAAATGTGCTGCAACTTTACATGAATAATTCATAAAACTACACATAAAAGCATAAAAACTATTTAAATTCTTGTTAATATCTTTTTAATTAAATGTTCTTTCAACTAAATAAATTAAGACGATGATAAATACTTTTTCAAATTCTTTCTGACATATTTCCTGTACAAAAATAAACAAAATTCAGGTATGACCAAAAATACAACGTACACTCCTTTAAACTATTATTATGAAGGCTAAAATTAAATTATAATAAAAGCTTAAGCAGAGAAGTTTAATCCACAAGTAGGGCAAAGATTATTAACCGTGATCAATCAATTATTGAAATAATTTTATAATAATAGTTTATTTGCATGTTTTAATTTATTTCCAATGTTGTACAATATGTTAAGCGTCTCAGCGAAAAGTCTGACGAAAAGAACATTTCTCAAATCAAAGTGAAAGACTCTGAATGAGAAGGTTCCTGATTCCCCAGTCACTTAATCAATTATTTAATCAGTTGACCACTATTTAATTGATCGATTCATCAATATCGATACAATTAATTGTATCAGCCCTAGCAGAAAGTCCCTTGTCTATAAAAAACTGCAAACTTCCATCTGCAAAACCAGAAAAAGCAAATGTAATACTTGTGAAAACTTTTTCAGGTAGTGTAAGAAGACTATTGATTTGTGCTGCACTCACCCCCTGTGCAGCAGACAGAGGTAGGCGCTCTGCAGGGCTGCCTGCAGGAAGTAGCCCAGGTCAACGTCAACAGCTGCAGAAAAGAGGCTGCCTTTGCCCATTTTGGCGTGTGGAGTGGCTACTATCTGAAAACATAGACTCTTAAGTAAACATGCCAGCACGTCATGCGAACTGTGCATTTGTGAAAGCTCACCTTATCGAGCTCCTGCAGGTAGGACAGAGCTGCATCACACGCCTTGAGGAAGCAGGACAGACTCTCCTCCTCTCGCTCCGAAAGACGGATCCGAGACACGGCAGACAGCGTCTGGTGGTCCAGAGAAAGACCTGAAACAGTGAGAGGAAGTCGAATGTAAAGAAATTTATCATTTTTGGGAAAATGTAAAGTTGGAAACGTATTTTTCTCTTCGAAAGTCTCATCGGTCTCCACGTAGCATATTGCTACAACCTCGTCCTAATCCAGTCATTTTGGAATAAGTTGACGCTGCTCCGTCAAGCAGCTCGGCTGAATGAAGTGCTGCTACTTTATAAATTAACTTGAGTGTTTATATTTCAGAAAAGAACCACACAAAAAGCATTTTTCACCTCACACAGTACTCTGTTTGGACAGTTTCTGGTTCCATTCCTGGGAAAGCCGCCATCTTGTCTTGTTCTTCTTCAACACCGCAACCTTCCAGATTGGAGTATGGATCAGATGTTTCATTTACTATATTCTTCCCAAAATACGAGTTCTTCTTAAAAAAAAACTTATTTTATCAATGCTCCGCTTAAGAATAACCAGCAGCACCTTCTGCTGGATGGCAGCCAAACTACAACACTACAAGAAGGTCTAACGAATGCTATTAGTTAATCGATTGGAGCTAATTGTGATGTAATGTATTAATCGACAATTAATTGTCTTCTTCCATTAAAACACATCAGGCTTTTATTAGCATGCTAATTTACCTTTAGACGTTCATTAATTTCTGTGTGTTTGCAGACCTCCACACAGTGGATACACAAACAAGAGAGGAAACTGACGTGCCTGGAAGACCAGATGCCCAAACTGGACTGATTATTACAAATATTCAAGGAGTTCAAGAACTTTCCAAGCCGGGAAGAAGCCAGAGGCTCTGAGCAGCCTTGGGCTCGACGCCAAGCCAAATCAAATAAGCAGACAGCTGCCAGCCGTCAGACATCATCCATGTCTGACTTGATTCCCACAGCAGCCAGCTTCATATCCCACAGAGAGGCCTGAGAAGGAGCCAACGGTAAATATGATTCAGGGGGAATCAAAACAAGCAGAGGAAATCTAAATCTGGCAGTTATTGCTGTAATATTTCTTAATGTTTCATGAGCATGAGGTCATGTCCGACTATCAGGAAATGGAGAGAGGGGTGGTAGCGACATAATGATGATGAGTGAAACGAGATTACACCGAGTCTGGGTGTTGTGTTCTGCAAATCTGATCTATGGCGATCAGACTGTATGACTGTAGCGACAAATCTGCCAGGAAAAACACCAAAATACTTCATAACTTTACCCCAAAACTGTCACGTTTCACTCTCTGATGTGACTTCAGAGCAAGAAAAATATGATTTCTTTAAGTGACAAACACAGAGCGCCCCTTGACCCGACTATCTACCCGATCGAGCTGATGGATTCCAGCTGTGTCCCATCTGCCTCGTAAAATACTCGCCACGCATCTTAGATCCACATACAAGGTCAATTTGGCTTCACTCCTCCCATAACTACCAAGAAAGGAGCCTTAAGTTTGGTTTTGATTGTTCTTTTATTAATAGCTTGGCTTGGAAGCTGACTGATGAATACTGCAGTATAAAAATCAGGTAATATGTCCTTCATTTTTACTACAATTTCATATAGAATAATTACACAAAATCATATATTTCCAGCTAAATGCCATTTGTGGAGTTCTAGGTGGAACATATTTACAGACAGGATTTGTCAGTGCAGGGCATTCTGGGTAAGTACAACTAAAACAAATGGAGAAATTACTTGTGGTATTTTACCAAAGACAAAAGAAAAATCTTCCAACTAGTCAATTTGTTTTACATTTTGATTAGAAGAAAGTTGTGCTCAGTGTCGTCTTCTGAGGTTTTTTTGTTGTTTCGGTCAGTGGCTCTTGGTGCAGCGCCCCCGCAGGTGAGGAGGGGAACAAGTTTTTCAATTAGTTTGGTTTGTTTTACACAGTTTTACACAGTGCAGTGTGAAAGATAACTGCACCAGCTGAAAATGTAACAAATGTTGCAATTTTAGTCCCAAATCGAACCAAAATGGCTCTTCAGTTTGTAAAGGTTGCAGACCTGGTTCAGTAGAAGAAAAAATGTATTCAAGCAACAGGGATACCTGCAGCCTCAACGGGATTTCGAAGCAAAGCCTATTGAAGAGATGCTTGTTTCATGAAAGCAACAGACCAGTTAATTGTGAGGTACCTTTAATGACGAAGGCCTCAGCCAGTAGGCGGAAGTGGTAGACGGGTTGGTCGTCCTGGGTCAGCTCCTCCAGACCCACCCTGGCACACATTCCCTGGGCGTCCCGGAACCGGCCCTGGACGTAGTGCACTTTGGCCATCAGCAGCAGAGCCTCATTCAAGTATCTGGGCTGCAGGAAAACCAGAAACACACAATCACACCAACGATGGCATGACAAATGGTCTGGGTTTGATATTTCCTGGTAGTTATTTCCAAATGATTTGACAGGACCTGAACATTAGACTCACTGTGAGGCGGCCTCGGCTCAGGATGGTGTTCAGGTAACCTTTGGCCTTGCAGAGTCTGGCCTGAGTCTTGTCCGTTAAAGGTGTGGAGCTGCGTAAAAGATCCATGTTTTCCAGCAGGCACTCCTCCAGCAGCGCCTCGGCCATCAGCAGCGTGCCGTAGTCATCTGCAGCGAGGGATTGAAGAATGTTAAAAGCAGTGGAACAAGCATGAACTGGGGGTCAGAGGTCATCCATTTCTGTAGCCAAAGAAAACCTTCTCTCAGTTCATCAAAACCAGAACTCAAACGCAGTAATTGATAATTAATCTTGTGATTAATCGATAATTAGTATTATGATTAATTGATAATTAGTATTATGATTATATTATGATTAATTGATAAATCATCAAATTAATCAGTTGCTGCTGACTTTTCATTTCAGTTAGGCCTTTTTAGCAATGAAATAAATTGACTAAAAGCTGCAAGAGAAGTAACTGAATTTCTTAGTTTCATGAATAAAAAATTGTTTATTGGCTAAAGTGCAAAAATGCAGCATTTCTTTATCATTTATAGCAAAGGATGCATCAACAACAACAACAAATTTTCTAACATCAGCATGTCAAAAGCTAGGGAATGATCTGTTGATTATTTTTTACCTTTGTAAATAACTGGATAACAAAAGTTTCCCTTCAAAAGCTAAAAAATTTCCCATTTGAGTTTTGGGTAGAACGAACTTTCAAAGGTGTTTTTTATTTTAACTTAAATGGAAAATATGTTTTTTCTGCAATTTTGGCTTAGTTACTGCTCTGACTGTGTTGATCTTTTAGCAAATGCCATTTTTTGATTCTATATAAGATTAATCGATTTCTAAAATAGAAACAAACAACCGATTAATCACTATTGATCCGATTATTTGTTTCAGTCCTCGTGGTTTCGCTTCAGTAAGTTTCCATTTGAGTCCTGCACATTCAGTAAAAACTCATCTAACTCATAATATTAAGGTTTACAAAAGCGTTCTCTGACCCAGCCTCTGTCTGTGTAAACACACACAAACACACACTCCAGTAAAGATTTCCTGTTTAGCTCCCTCAGCCCGGGTGTGTTCTGATGCCAGCTCTTTGAGGCGTGTTTACGCTCAGATATACTTGACATTTTTGCTGGTTCGTTTATCAGCACAGCCAAGGAGAAACTTGTCTCTGAGCAGAAGGTGGGGGATAAACACCAGGACGTGTTTTGCTCCAAAACCACAGCGAGAAACAGAGTTCATCCATTCACTGAACCAAACGGTGATTTACTCTTCAAGTTGTCGTTACAATATGTTAGTTTTCTACATTACAGCAGTTTTCTTGACCTCCTTTTTCTGACTGGATGAATCACCTAATATATTGTTTGAAAACTTGACTATTATTGCTTTGATCTGGGTCGGACATGCTGTGAAGCAGCGGTGTCAAACTAATTTTCGTTTTGGGCCAAATCAAGATCACTAATGCTCTTAAAGGGCCGGTTGTGGCAGAATGTATTTATAAGACCTGTTAAGCTGTTAAAATATCAACAAATTCTTAAAATTAAATATATTATTGGACATCTTTCCAGTCCTAGGATTTTGTGATTCTTTTTGATTTTTTTGCAATAAAATAAATAAAAAGTGTTTGTGGTACTAATCTGATTGATATAATTTGACAGCTAAAAACTGAATTGATTTGATTGATAACGTAATATTTAAGCACACTTAGTGTTTAGTCTAGATTAATATAGAGTTTGACACACTCAGCAATGTTTAGCTCTAACATTTTCCTCCTCCTAAATGTAACATATTGCCAAAATCTAATTTAAAATCAATCCAATATTTTGTCTGGATTTTAGATCATAGAAATTCAACATAACCTCTTAAAGCCACAGTACACAATGACACCAAACCTACCACATAAACAACAGGCTGCTTTTTATTGCTGTCAGAGTTGGGCGAAGGTTTAATATATGACCACCTTAACTACCATGAAGTTCCTCTATCTGAAACCAGCTCCTCCTGGTGCACCTTGCACACTCGCTGCTGGTTCAGCGAATGAAAACCAGGCAAGCGCACAGTAATAGCACTTTAATTTAACACCCGAGTGAACCTGTAGACGCCTGTAGTCAGGACACTCAAACCCATATTTACTCTGCGTAGGCAGGTGCATTAGTGAAATGCCTCAGCCTTGCTTTATGAGGTGCAGAAAGAAAAGTGTGTTTGCTTTTCTTTTGTGGAATGATTTCGAGTGTAAATGATCAGGCTGGTGGACAAACCTGGTTTAACATTAAAGTGAGTTTTTCTGCTTAAATGTGACACAGACTCTTCTTGTTTACTGTGAACTTCCAGGGAGAGGTTTTCTTCAAAGGGGAAAGTTGGGATGCAGGATTTTCACTGGTTTTATCTGTGGAGGAGATCTGGTTAGAAGACCTTCCAGTAATCTTGTTTGGAGTCCAAGGTCCAACTGGTGTACAGTGTGATAGTATGCTCATTGCAAAAAATACATATCAACTCAAACAGTAGGAAATCCTCAATTTTTCTTTCAAACTTAGTTAATTTATAAAAACTTTCTGCTTTTATTAGTAGCGTCTGTTTTACCTGAAACCTGCTCCAACAGATTAAAATTTAAATAACATTTAACATTTAACATGATCTGATCGTATTTGCGTTAATAGAGCAACCAGGAAGTGACGGGACATGCGTGCAGCGGCTCCCCAGCCTCCAGGTGCGACCCGCGGTCACTCACCGTCCTCGTGGATCCGCGCAGCGTGCATCTGCTCCACCAGCGCCAGGATTTTGCCCCACTGGCACTCGGCCCTGTAGCGCTCCAGCTCCGCTTCCAGCCGGACCTGGGTGAAGGAGAGCCGGGTCGCCATGGCCGCTCTGTCCCGGTGGTGGTGGCCGTAGTCCCCGGACACGATGGGAGTAACTGCGGACTAACCAGGAGATGTTTGAGTGCGCAGGGTTGGGTGGGGTGAGGTGTCCGGGCGAGGGAAACAACGAACTAAATCCAGATTATTATGGTTTATTTAACATAAACTTGTTGAAACAAAGACAAAATCCACTTCCATATATTGAAAAATATTGATGGGAGCTTTTTTTATCTATTTATTTTAGCAAATCAATTCATAAAGTGGCACTCAGATTGGTTTGTTTTTCTTTAGACTATTTCATTTTAAAGTTTACGTCTGAAACGTCAAAGAAGTTGCATTAAAACAATGAAAAAATATTGTTATACTCCACAAGGCGGATAATACACGCTTATTGCTAAAGAAAGTTGTTTTCTTAATGGAAAGTTGAGTGGAAGGAAAACCGTGTAGTGGAGAAAGGTGAGCAAGGCATATGATGGAATAATAAAGCAAAATCGATTTAAGTTTGAGGATTGTTACTTGAAAACCAGGTCAACTTTAACTAAGATTTTTTAGTTTATTTTACTTTTTAAGTAAGTAAAGTTGCATGAATTTAAAGCAACTTTTAAATTCACCTCTCGAAATAGCAGATAAAAATGTAAATAATTATTTATTATTTCCAATCTCAATTAAGGAAGCCCTTAATTTTGCATTTGTTTATTTTTTACTTTTCCAATTTTTATTTATTATTTGTATTAATTATTTTGTATTTGTTTTGATAAATTTATTTATTTTGCATTCATTTATTATTTTTGTAGCTTTTATGTACGTTGTAAATTTGCAGTTAAATAACAATAAAATCTATCACATAAATAATAAAGTAATTTAACGGCTTCCTGTTAACATGAAGGTAGATTTGTTGTTGATAGAGTCATGTGTTTTATTAATATAGTAACAGTTTTATTATATATTTATATATTTTTTATATTTTTTCATTTTATTATTCCAAATTTACTAGGCATTATAATTATTAAGCTTGATTTATTTTGTTTTTTATTGAAATTGCAGTAAATTTACTATTAAATATATGAATTTAACTTTATTTTTCTACAGTCATAATTTAATGCTACTAAAGTGTCACAATTTCTATTATTTGGGTCAAATAAGTACCTCTTCATAAATAAATCTCAGAAAGTATTTTAACTTTTCAGTTTTTCACAGTGTTGGCTCCTCCTTTCCTACGGCTTGGAATCACTGGAGCAGCCGAGAAACCCAAACTGCAACTGCAAGGGATTCATTGCTGCCTAACTCTTAAAACATGTGATCTTTAATGCAAAACGTAGCAGAAATTAATAATGGTGGGTTAGCAAATCATTAAACTGTGGGGCGACCTTGCATGGGAGAGCTTGATTTGTAGCAGTGTGAAGGCGAATAAGAGCCAAGTCTCTAATCTTTTTCCCGTTAACACTTTAACTGGATCAGGCAGGGCTTAAGAAACAGCAAAGCAAAACTGTGGCTGGACAGCAGAACACAACGCCATGTTTGTAAAATAATATTGCTTATAGATGAGGGTAGAAAACGTAAAATGTCTGTCTGCCTCACTGACACCAGCTTACCTACCTTGGCTCAGATACAAGCGACTACATGTGTTAGTCTCTGCTCCATGACATGTACTAGAACTTTATGAAGCAAAGTGCAGCCCAGTTAATACTGCCGCCACTATTAGAAACTAATACTAGAGGGGAGAACTGTGTGGGTAAATTGAAGGGAAATTACTGAGTCTAGTTTGAATACAATGACCCACAACACAAGGGAGTAAACACGAGGGAGAATTGCAATTCACTACAGAGTCTAAGTCAGCTACTGCGAGACATTAAGAGAAACCTCAAGCCTCTTGAAGAGAGATTTGGTAGCGTCATTTTCTCTTGGGAAAGTTGACATTTGCGCGACATGAGAAGCGCCTGTCCGTCTCCTCAGCGGACGTCCAACCACAGCATGATTAATCTGGATCTGGGCACTCAGCGGCGGGTTTGCGCCCCCTGCTGTCTGGAGAGCGTCACTGCGCCCTCAAAGGTTTCTGTCCCACAAAGATGTTTCACTTTCTACAGGAAACCTGGCAGTTTATGGCAAGTCATTCTAGCTAATTGGAGAGAAACTATAACCAGTCAAATAAACTGCTTTACTTTTAGGAAACAACTGAGAAGTAAGCTTTTACGGTAACCCAAAATGGTCAACAATATGCAAGAGACCCAAAACAACAACAAATGCTACAACGCAACAACAAAGTATGCAGTACAAAAACAAAAGTCACAATGCAACAGCAAAAACACGACTCATCCGCTTAGAGCACAGTGTATCAGGAAAATCCACAATGAAACCTCAAAAATCACAACAACAAAATTCCAGCTCAACATCAAAACCCATAATGTTTCAGGAAAGGCCAAGAGAGAAATCAAACTACAACTATGGGGTGTCAAATGTGCCAAGAGTTTTTTCTATATTAATGCACTAAACATTCACTAACTAACTGAGGGTATCAGTTACCCTCTTTGGGGTATATTTATGTAACTGCTTAAATATACCCTTTAGTCTAAACTATTACATTAATACTAGGGCTAAATGTCTAAGTTTGGGTAAAACAACAGAAGAAAAGTCAACCTTTGTTAATTTTTTAAGCTTGAAACTGAGATGTTGTAATATTACAACACCGAGTCTTAGAGTATTGACCCTAATTTTCATGCATCCCCAGAGATTTCCCAAGCGTTTGTTTGCTTGTTAGCTTAACAATGAAGCTAAAACGTTGCTGAACAGAGACAAACGTGAAGATAAAACGTTTCTCCTTAAAAATCTTTTTTGTGAAATGTTGACTTGGGGCTTTTTTAAAAATTTTTTTTAAAGCTTTTAAAACTGCACTCAGTTTGAATAATTTCAGTAGCAACAGCTTCCCCTCCCAACATGGCGGAAACGTCGACGTGTCTTTCAGCAATTCTGAAGTTTTTAGTTAAAACAAAACATAACATCACTTGATATCAGGGCAGACTCGAGTTAATGTGGTTCTACTTGATTTATTAAAAAGCTAAACCTCTTCGGTTACATATTTACTCGTACATTTCACTTTTTGCTGTTTGAAACGTTGTAAGAGTGGACCGTTGGAGGAAGGAACGTGTCCGTTACGTAAATCTCCGATCGTCGTCGACCAATCAAAAATGAGCTGTCGTGTCCATAACGGCGTACGGGAAGCTGCTTGGTCCAATATAGTTCTCAACGCTTACTGTCGCTCGCTAACAGGAAAGTGAGGAAACAACACCTTAGCGGTTTTCAGCAGACACACCGACTACTTGAAAGTGAGTATTTGAGTTGGCTGTTGGTATTCCCTGTGGCTAAGTAGATGCTGATTTTTTTTTGCGGGATTTTTTTGTCTGGAAATAAGTAATTTGGCTAGCAAATGTGCGTGTTAGCTAACGGTAATGTTTGTTTACCCTTCCGTTGGGCATTTTACTGTAACCGCATGTAAACAGGACGGAACTGAAGTCCGTTTTTGTTTATGTTTATCCTTATGCTGAACAGTTGTTACTGATCTTAGCCTGTATTTTTGTCAACAGGAGATAATCTGTTTTAGTTCCATGGATTTACAGAGGAATATGCATTTCTCTCCCTTCCAGGATGAGGCGTCGTGCACAGTGGGGGGTTCTGATCCTCTTCCTGTCCTGCTCTTTTCTGTGTGCTCACTCTCAGTTGTCTCCACACCAGCAGCAGCCTCCTCCTGCAGTGGCAGGCTCAGCTCACATAACTCGACTTGACAAGAACATGGTGCAAGACAAAGAGTGAGCAACACCTCTGAAGTCCAGACACATCGCCCCGCTCACTGGATGATGGGCCAATTCCTGATGTTTCTCTTTCTCTGCTCTCAGCCACATCATGGAGCACTTGGAGGGGGTCATCGACAAACCTGAGAAAGACATGACGCCCCAGGAGCTTCAGCTGCATTATTTTAAGATGCACGACTACGATGGGAACAACCTGCTGGACGGCCTGGAGTTGGCCACTGCTATTACACATGTACACAAAGAGGTAGGTGTGTAAATAAAATAGAGACTAAACAAAACTACTATAATTTTACACATTTTTGTGATCAGCAGTAAACTCTGTAGATTATGTTGATAAATGATTTATGCAGTTAATACATAGATCATTTGTTTATTAGCATCTTGTATTAAAGTTGCAGTGTGCATTATTATGTTTTAATTACAAATATTTAGAAAACTTGTTTGGTTTTTTTGTAATTGAGTTTTTTATTGATTCCCAAGGAAGCCAATTTTACAAAACACAAAAACTTACCTAGAAATTTTGGTCTAATTTCTAGTCCAATTATCATAGTAGACTTGAAATAAGACAAAACTAACTTGCCAAGCGTTTCTTCGATATATAAACTTCATATTCTTTAAAATGTACCAGTTCCACTGGCAGATTATTTAACTTAAAACAAGATATTTATACATTTTATATGGTCTGGAGCTGAAGTTTTCAAGTGGCATTGTTTTAACTTCCTCTGGTTCATATTTATTAAAGGAATGCTGTGGCTTTATACTTTTAGGCAATAAAATGTTTATTTTCTTATTTAAAATGAGAATTAAATTATTTGTTTATTGGCATCTTGTATTCATAATATTGCATTAAAAAAGGCTTAAGTGGTTCAATAACAAATGTTTAGAATGTGACAAGTTTTAAAAATCTGATTAATAATCAGTAGATTTATCAGTTAGGAGTTTGACCCCTTAACATCACAACTGAGCCCTTCTGTCTGACAACTGAAGCTCGATCAGTTCTTTAAAGGAAAGTCGCCTGAAATTTCTCCAAAATTATAAAACATTTAAACAATTTTAGAAATCTGTATTGCGCACTTAGCTTTTATGTCCTGATATTAAAAAATTAAACACATTTTTACTGTTGTTTTCCTGCTCTGAATCGCAGGAGAGAGGGGAGAACAGCCAGCCAATGAAGGAGGAGGAGCTCATCTTGCTAATTGATGACGTCCTGAGGGACGACGACAAAAACAACGATGGGTACATCGACTACGCAGAGTTCGCCAAATCGTTGGAGTAGATCGCCTCGCTGTTTCTTCGTTTTCAGTCCTGAAGGAGAATCCAGAAAGAGGGGAGAGGCGGCAAGCTGCTCCGTCTTTCACGGAAATCATCTTTGTAATTTACAAAGCTTGTGACAGTTTTTTCATACCAGATGGAATGTAATTCCACCGAATTACGAAACAGTAGCCTTTGTACCCTGTTTTTGTAGATTGTGCCATTTTCAAAGGGTCAGTTTAACCAAATTATTTTTTCATTCAGACTTTAGTGGCCTCTACGCTGCGTGTTTCCTGCCAAAGTTCGCCAGCCAGCCACTGTACTGCAGTAAACAAACCGATGAAGTAGTTTGGTTGAACTGACCCAACGGACCAGTTCATTTCAAACTCATACGCACTATTTTAAATTAAATTCAACACACCAGCTGTTTGAGTCTCTGCATTTAGGACCAAATGATTCCTTGTGAAGATAATTCAGCAAATATGTTGTTCCCTCTGCAACAGATTAGATTAGATTGGCAGAGACAGAAGGGTAAACCTTGTGTAAATGATGAGCAAGTTAGCAGCGCCCCCTTCTGGTCAGCCGGAGGACGTACGGCTCTTAATCAGTCGCAAAAGGAATGTATAGCCGAGCTGCATCAGATTCGACGACACTGAATAAGCTAGACTGGAAGCACACTGGCAGACTCTTCTTTTGGCTGGAGTTTCAGGAAAGCACTTGAATGCAACACGATTCCTTCAGATGTTAGCTGCCTTTTTTCAAACGCTGAGTTCGAGCACATCAGGTCAGGTTTGTTCAGTCCATCTGCGTTTGCTTCATATGGATGAACTCTATTTTTTGTCTTTGTTTTTGCCGACCAGTGTTGATTCTTCAGTGGGCTGATTGTGGAGAGAAATTATGTAAAGGTTGGGAAATGTAACTCTGGAATGTGAAAAGAAAACTTCTGTTACTTTTAAGGTAAATTATGTTTGGTTCTAGTAAACTGGTAGAGTTCAATCTACCAGTTTAATCTGGTAGATTAAACTCGTGAAATCAAATTTATTCTCTGATCTGCTTGTTTTTTTGTGTGTGTAATTTTTATTTGAATTTTTAGGGCTCTTTGAACTTTCTAAGGAAAACAAGTGCACACGCCTCCCAATTGCACATAAGTTGAGCTGTACTTGTTGCTATGTAATTGCAATTTTATCTACTAAAAAAACTTTTAGTGATGAGGATGATAAAAAAAAGTTCAAACTAATAGGTTTTATAATTAGATTTTAAATACTAGCTTTGATGTGTAATTGGCTTACAGTCAAAACAAAGATTTGTTACATTTACTTTGGGATAAATATAACAAAATTAATCTTCTCATCTTAAGTCTGCTGCACAATAAGCAATAAATGTTGAAATTACTTATGTACTTGTTAGTAGGATATCAATGATTGTGCAGCTTTTAAAGTAAAAAATCTGTTTCTTTGCCTGCAAAAAGTTTCTTCTGCACAGAGGAAGTTCAGATTTAGTACTTATGAATCAGAAAATCTTACTGTCAAATAAAGAGGCATTATAGTTTTTATACTGACTTTATTTAGGAAGAATTGACATGTACAACAGGTGGACTGTGACAGAGCAAAATTGGGGCCATAAACTTCATCCAAAAGAAAGAAACATTTGAAATCGAAAAATTAGTTTGAAACTAGAAACTTGAAAACATTTGTTCATTATTAGCATTTGTTTCAGTTTCACAGTTTTAAAACTGTTTTCAGTTTGGAAATATTTGTTTTTTTCAGTTTTAAAGTAATTTTTCAGTTGCCAATATTTTTTTCCTTTCAATTTATTTTTCTAAACTGAAATTAATTTTGAAACTAAAACAAAAACTATTTGAAATGGAATTTTTTTGAGTGCATAAAAGATCTGAAACTGAAAAGAACTTTGAATTTGAAAAATAGTTTTGAACATTCTTTCAGTTTAACTTTTTTTTTTACTTCCTTCAGTTTCAAACATTTTTTCAGTTAATTAAATAATTTTTTTTGAAAGTTCAGTAGCAAAATAAATTTTCAGTTATTTATTTTTTGCTTTTGAACTTAACAAAAGTTCAAGAGCAATTATTTTGAAACTGAGAAAAAAACAAATGAAAATTAAAATTATGAAATTCCCCACAAATTTGAAACTTTTTTTCAGCTTCATAGTTTCAGAACTTTTAATTTTTAGTTTCAAAATAATTTTTCATTTTCAATTGTTTTTTTTTCTTTGAACAATCTTTATGGCCCCAAAGTACCTCCGTAGGCTCCCCGTGTGGCACCAATGTAGCTCCATAGTCTCCCCGTGGCACCAATGTGCCTTAGCTCCAGGGGGAGGCCGCCTCCAGAGGCTGCACGGAGCCCAGGGGGAACATGGGTGACGGGAGGCTGGTTCTCAGCGAGCCGTACCAGTCGTCGTGCTGCCGCTGCGGCGCTGGCTGCGGCGGGCTGCTGGGACACGGACAGCGGCTGACTTGGGTTTGGTGGCGGGAGTACGGCCCGGGCGGCAGCATGGAGGTCAGGTGGGGGATGTGGGCCAACGGCTGAGGGTAGTACTGTCGAGGCATGCCGGCCACCAGCGTCCTGTGGCCCGTCACCACACCCATCGGGAAGACTTTCTGGGAGGCCCGCTCATGTTTGCGCTGTTTGGCTCTTCTGTTCTGGAACCACACCTGCCGGGACAAGACAACAGAATCTGCGTTTGCATTAACCATCTACTCGCGCAAATTTAAATTACGAAAATAAATTAGCTTAAAGGAAACGGCACATGAGTCACGTGTTCAACAGCCTGATGTTACTACTGGCGAAAACGACGAAGAAGACCACAGGAAGAAAGAGGATTATGGTTTGTTTTTGTTTTCAGACACATCACATCATTTAACAGTTAATAATAATAATAATAACAATAACAAAAAATGTCGTAATACAATTTCCCCAAAATACCGCATTCGTAGCCGTTCCCAAATATAAGGATTTTGTTGCTCCAACTCCTGAATGATGGCTGAATTATTATATGTAATCTATCTGTTTATGCTCATAGCTGCCAAATTTCTAATGACTTCTCTCATGAACAACCTTATTCATATGTGATTTTAATGTAATTTTTTTAGTTAGTGGAAACATCGTAATTGCAAAATTGTGTTTTTTGACACCAGACTAATATTTCCAGACATTTGTAACGAAAACACATCGCAATGCAGCCTTTGGCCATACAATTGTGCAATTGAAAAATTTTTAAAGTAATTTTACGTAATGAAAAATTAAGTAGTAGTAGAAACCCTAAAGGAAGTATAAAAACTTACAAAATGTAAATTTAATACCCTAAGATTTAGTATTTTCTTATCTTATACTACTTATACTAAAGTTTGACTTTACAAGATGCTGAAATTTTTTGTAATTTTCTGTGCTGGACTTCTGATACAATTACTACTTTATTCTCCTAATATTATCACCTTCCTGTATTACTACCACCGTGTTCTGTTAATATGCCTTGAGTCTCATATTATTTTGACTCTTATATTACTTTATAATATAATTAGATTATTCTTGTAATTAGCAAAATAAATGTTTTTTTGGACCTAATATGTCATGGTAGAGTATTAAGTGTAAGACATGCTTGTTGAACAAGGTGGCCAACACTTTGAACTATGGACTATGAAACATTTTCCAACTGATAAAATCGATTTCTACAGAAATTGTGCAAATTCCTGTGGACCAAACGATGCTGCACCTAAACCGAGAGAAGAGTTTGTCCCACCTGTATGCGAGCCTCGTTGAGTTTGGTGACGCGCGCCAGCTCCTCCCTGCAGTAGATGTCCGGGTACTGGTTCTGCTGAAAAGCCAGCTCCAGCTGTTCCAGCTGCTTGTGGCTGAAGGTGGTGCGGTGGCGCCTCCTGGCGGGAGACGGGTAGGCTTTGCCCCCCCTGCTGATGCCGGCGGCCACGGAGGTCTCTGACGTCGCTGCCTTCCTCCCGGGCTCACCTATATCTGCTTTCAGAAGCAAAAAGACTGAGGCTTTGCCGGGAAAAACCTTCATTTTTACTGGGGACAATTCTCCAGCTCCTATTTCTTGACTTCCTTGGCGAATAAAACACAACAACCTTCAGTTGTATGAGTGCAAATCACCAAAAAGGAGGGATTAGAGCGACTCGGCAACCTGAGAGCCGCAGAGATTTGGCCGCCTAAAGACAAGCTCGTGAGAAAAAGATACCAGAAACTGGAGGATTTGACAAGATTATGTCCACAATCGCTGATGAAGGGGCCAATCTGTGGAAATGGGGCAGTGAGGCGTCCGTTGACATCACTGCTTCTGTTGTTTAGTCTAACATTTAGGTTGTTTTTTCTAAATATATTCACTAATTTTCATTTTTAAAAACAAAACCCAACACAAAAGAAGAAAAAAGTTGCATATTCTCATCATTTTATTGTCCAAGCCTAAGAGTTAATAAAAGCTGAAGACAAGATGGTGGACAAGAGTTTCCACATGCATCCAACACGTCAGTCTTGTATTCCAAATTGAACTTCCTCCACCCAAAAATAGCAGAAATAAAATATTCTTTCAATTATAAAAGGTTAGAATATCATACAACTTAGGCTTAATGTTTAGTTTTTGATTGGAGTGCGGTAGAAAACTACACCAAAATGAGTGTATTTATGGAAAAAAGTGTCAGTATTTCTCTTAAAGTAACTTCAATTTAATGTCCTAACCAAAATCTGATAGAATTACGACCCAAAATAGCTGAAAACATCGATCATTTCTACAAATAAATGAGTCGGAACCTGCAGTTTTTCTCTAAGTTAGCTGAATGCTTGCAAACTAATTTTTCGACCAACCTGCGCTCGAGCTCACTGTAGCCATGTCAGAGTAAAGTTCTGCAAAGTCCTGGTGGCTCCGTGGTGTTGCACCTGCAGCCTTTACCTGGGCCATCGCTGCAGCTCTGCATCCCAGCAGAGACGCTCAGTCAAAATTAAAGTCCTGCGTCCCTCCCTTCTTGCTTCCTTCACTCGCTCTGTGGGAGCCAATAGGAACTGGCAACCAGCGTCACTGGAATGAAAGTGACCAGTTGCAGTTACTTAAGAGTTACTTTTTGAGTAGTTCTAGTTTTACTTTACTATACTTTTCTACTTGAGCACCATTACACTGAAGCAACACTTCAGAATATAAATCAGAGAACCTTTAACCAAACAGAAACACACAATTTATGTCAGAGTGAGACTTCCTGTTTGCATGATTAAGCTTTATTGTATTTTCTATCCAGTAAATATTGTCACTGCGCTGCAAAAACACAAAATCTTAGCAAGTATTTTTAAAATAGTTCATAGTATAGTTCAAATGTCTTAGTACACTGTAAAAAAAGACAAAACTAACTTGTTTTAAAACAAGACACAGGGGCTTGCTTTTTTATTATTAATAGTAATAAAAAAGTTCTTGTCTTACTGGCAGTCTAATTTTGCTTATTACTTCATTTATAATGTGCTTGTACTTAAAAAAAATAATATTAACTTAAATCAAGCTTCAGTTTGGTGAAAAGTTATTTGAAAGTTAGCTTTGTCTTATTTCAGGTGTACTAGTTCATTACATTTTAAAAAATCTGATACGATGTTGTGTTTTTGCAGTGTGGATGTCTGTATGATAGTGTTGGATCTGTCAGGTTTTTCTACACTATTGGATAAAATTGACTTATTTTATAAGCTGACAAAGACAAGTTTATTTTTTACAGTGACTGAAACAACTGCATATTAATTAAATCACTGGGTTTAAACTCATAAAGTCAACATAATGACATCATAATGAGGATATGGTCGTCATTTTTAGGAATTTCAACCATTTTAAACATTTGGCTTAAGGTAAGTCAGATTCTTAGATTTGAAAGAAGAAGAAACACTGTGTGACCACCAGGTGGCGCTGTTTGGTCAACTTGTGGCAAGCAAATGAAAAGGCACATCTCGGAAACGTGTCCCATCCATTATTTTGGAAGAGGATGTGAGGCGGTGAGTCTGAAGAGTCATGACGGGGCTGCAGAGCGGCAGCTGTGCTCAGCACGAAGCATTTCACCATGTAATGCTGGCAGCACAAACTTCTCCATGTGTGCGGCCCTTTAAATTGTTTTTGCTTTTGATTTCTAGTTACCTGAACGTTTTCATATCAAACAATCTGGATAGCAAAGATAACCTGAGTAAATAGTAGTTTTTATATTATAATTAGAGATTAAACGATTAATCGGATTAATTGTGATTAATCAATTATTGAAATAATCATCAAAGACCAAACAATCTTATTAAGTACTTTTAATGTATTTTTAATGTTGTAAAAAAAAAAATCATAAAAAAATCTGTTGAACGTATACAATTAATTAATTGATCGTCAGAATAATTGATAGATTATTCAATAACTAAAATGAGTTGTAGCCTTGGTTGGCTTAGGTTCGAAAAAAGCTCATAAGGTTAAATGAAAAATCTGTTGAATGTTCCAGTTTTAAAATACAATAATCGTTCAATCATCTGAATAACGATTATTCAGTTACTAAAACAATTATTAGTTTACTTGCATCTTTTATGTGCATCTTGTATATGATGACTTATGCGGGTCAATGAAAAAGCTGCTGACCGTACCATTTACAAAATATGATTAATCGTCAGAATAATCGATTAATCGATCGCTAAAATAGTCATTAGCTGGAGTCCTAGTTGTATCTTGCTTCCTCCTTGGTGTTTTGTTCAACTCCAGAGGTCGGTGTGACTCACTGGGAGCAGAAATCAGACTCGAAACGTAGACAGGAAACGTGTCAGACAGCAGATTGCAGCTCTCCCTCGGACCAGAATCCTCGCCAGGGAAGTGAAACAGACAATACTCAGCGACTGAATGACCTATTGAGGTAGCGGGCCCGTAGGAACGCCTGTTACATATTAATTCTCCGGTTGAAATGACAAATGACCCTTGAGACCGAACAAACGTCTTGAGAAAGCCCCTGCCTTGTTCTCTGGTTCTTTGCGGGCAAACATCTAATTTGATTCCTTGTGACAGGCTGTGAGGGCCAAGTCTTGTGTGTGTCGTCAAAGAGACCCCGTCCTGCCTGGACTGTGAGTAATATTGTGCACGCTGCTGCCAAGCTCGCTACGCGTCTTATATTCTGCTCACATGTTTCCTGTCCCAGACAACGACTCGACCACAATCCCCCAAACCCCTCAAACAACAAAAAACCCAAGAAAACGGCATGACTATGGTTCTGTTACAAACACACAAATCAAACTTTTGAAGGTTTGAATTATACATAAAGGAACAAATCCTCTATGCTTTTCATCTTTACACATTAAAATCCAAAATGTGTAGCCTGTGAAAATCCAACCCCAATTCCAATAAAGTTGAATCATTGTGTAAAACATAAATAAAAACAGATTATGATAATTTGCTAATGTTTTCCCACTTGTATTCAATTGAATTCACAGCAATAACAAGATATTTAATGCTCAAACTAATGCTGCTGGAAAAGTCAAGTGTCTTGCTGTTGACTTACAATCCAGAAGCCACTTCCTGCATTCTTGTTTGTTGTGCAGGAGGCTCCATTTCTGCTTTTCAAAGATGTTCAGTAGTATAATTGCAAGTGTGAGTGTAAATGTTGAGTTTGGGGGCTTATTTGAATTTACAGGCCCTAAAACGGCTCATTCTAGGCTGAACTGACCCGACTAGAATCTCATTGTCTATTGATGATTTTGAGTAAAAACTGCAGTGAACGTGTTTTGTATAGGCCATAGACCTATCCCAACGAAGGTCACCTTAAAAAAAGCTTATTGACCCAAAGGGAAATTAAATGTTCTAGCTCATATCATTCAAGCATCTTCAAAGATGGTGATGCTCTGGGCAGGAAGAATCTCCAGCAGCAGTCAGTGTCGCAACTAACCTATAAAGGCCTCTGTCTGAAGATAGTCGATGTCATGACATGCTAACAACTCAATTTTAAGGCAGGACAGACGATATTTTACAGTCACACGTCCTAGATGACAACATCAGGGGTTTCCAAGCACTGCTAATCCGTCTCCTTTGCTTTTGCTTCTTTAAATCTGTCTCTGGAAGTACGGTTAGAAAGCTAAGCAGAGAGATGTTGGAGTAGGGGATATTTATCTTGGAAGACATGGTATGAACTTCCTCATTTTCTCTCAGCTTGTCATGGTTTATTACATCTTAACAACTACCTGACGTAAAAAAAAAAATATGAGTAAAAATCCTTCCAAAATAGGTGCCTATGCAAAAAAAGCACCTCTGTCCAGCCGGGTGGGTTTTTCATTGACATCCCTCTGCATGCAGTGACACAAGTTCAGACTTTATGACAATTCAGCATCAGGTGTGTCTCACTGATCTACTTCCGGTCATATTATCATAACCTGCGACGCAGAAACCGGCAACATATGAAAAATATGACCCGGTGAGCACGTGTACACACTAAACACCGAGCAGAACCCAACGCCTGTTACAGTGTAAGGAAATAACATGCAAGTCATATTATCCTGGGTGCTCAGTTTCAGGGGTTGTGCGCGCGCACGTGCCCCGGTGCATACGGGCCTCTGCCTCTGAGTGGCTCCGGCTGGGCCCAGTATGGACACAGAGGAAATTCTTCCCTCCCATTTTCCCGGGACTGAACTGGGAGTGACCTGGTTGGCAGACAGACAGCCCCAATGGAAGGAATGTAACCCAACTCCCCCCACCAGCTCACCCTCCGCGCCCCATCCAGCCAGTAAGCTGGCCCAGCTGTGAGAGAAACATCCAGCATGTGGAGTGAAGAAAGAGAGGCTTTCGCATCAGCGTTAGATCAAAATGAATTTCTAAGGGGGGGAAGGAAATGTGTCTTTGTTGTATGTTGAATTTTTGTTCGATCTTTTTGTGAAGAGCCCAAGATGTCATGTTACAAAAATAGAAAAACAAGACAAAAAAGGAACTGAATCCGAGTCTACAGACGACTAGAGCTGAAACTATTAATCAGATTAATCACAATTAATCGATCAATGAAATAATTGTCAGCACATTTAGTAATCAATTAATTTTTAACTGGAGCATTGACTCCGCCCACTCCGCCAAGATGGACGCCAAAACAACCAATGCACAGCTGTCAAAAACAAAACGTCTGTAAGTTAATATCTCTTTTATTTAGTTGATTTCACTTTAAAAATGGTCACATGTTGCTGTGTAAGAATAGAAACCAAACCAACAATTTATTTTATAATTTTAAAGGAAAGATACCGTAGTGTTGGATATCAGCTAATATTGTTAGCTGCAACAGTTTAGAAAGATTTTTTTTTCATTTCAGATTAAAACAGGTTTTGGCCAAAGCTCATCAAGTTTTATAGCATCAGCTGCATCCAATTCAGATTCACTGAAGGAATACTGCAATAAAATGTTTATTTTCTTATTTTAAAAAGTAATTTAATTATTTTCTGTTTGCATATTTTAATGTATTTTTTCACATTGTATAAAAATGCTTCACTGGTTGAAAGCTAAATCTTTAGAACGTGCCTGTTTTTTATACGATTAATCAATTAATCGTCAGAATAATTGATAACTAAAGTAATTGTCTGTTGATGCCCTTAAAAATATTGAAACTTTGGATTAAAATAACTTTGTCAGTAAACAGGTTTTAGACAGAACTTCACAATCTGGTTCAGATTTGATGTTTTATTACGTTTTAGTCAATAAAATGTTTATTTCCTTTTTGGTTTATTTGTAATTTCAAAATTTATTAGTTTTTTTTGGGTGAAAATGTACTTTCTACATGGATAGATGTTACACAAAGCAGATCAAGCAAAAAAAACAATTAATAATATTTTTTTACTCTAAAGTTTAGCATTGTGACTGTCCTGTTTTCTCATCTTTTCAACCAATAAAAGTGTTATTTGGAGGTTTTTTGTCGTTTTGCTTGCTTGCTTTGCTTTGAACTGCTG